ATTCGTAAATTTAGATTACTTTTTTCTGTACTATATTAAAAACTAAAATTTATTTGTTTGTAAGCTTAAAATAGATCCTTATTAACCATATATTATTAAAAATGCATTAATAAATAAAATACAGAACCAGAAATGGTAATTTATGGTTTAGCCTAGTGACAAGTAGATTCGGACACAAGTAAATTCGACTTACGTCGCTTTCCTGGAACCAATTACCGACGTAAGGCAAAGTATACCTGTATTATATTTTGGCTTGTGTAATATAAGACAAACTTGCTCGGCTTGCTTCCAGTTTTTAGATTGACTGGTCGAAGACATGCTACACACATTTTGAATTCATAATTATTAATTTACAATTAAAAACTCCATACTCACGCTTCATATTTACTCTGCAGTAAATTCGATATCACGGGAAGTAAAATCTGACACATGTCCAAGTTCCACATGGACCTAGTTTAAAATTATTATAAAGTAAGAAAAATCTTAGTGAAACTTAATTGTTTAAAATTTTCAATTTTCTTACAGAAAATTAAATTAAATAGAAGTTCTAAACTTACGGCCTGAGAGTCACAACATTTAAAATGTCTACCAGTATTGATGAATCGTTCAAGTGAATGGCAGATTCTAAGGCATTCTGAAAAAAAAAAAAATTTTCCCGATTTAAAAAATAAATCCAGGCTGAAATACAGATATATATATATATATTTTTAAATTATACAAACAGACAATAATTTGCATTAATGTTTAAATAATTCTGTATCATATTTAACAATTTAATTTTCTAAATTAGTTGATGATTAACTTTCTTTGTTAGAAGTTTTGAAGATTAGTTGCAACTAAACTATTTTAAATTGGATACTTTTGTTGCAGGAGGAAAAATAAGATCTCAATCAGAATTATTATTATGGATTCTATTAACATTTAAATATATTTTTACATTGTATAATATTTGTGCAAATAATAGTAACTATAGTTTCAAGCAAAACTAGTTATAGTGGGACTGCATAATATAGTTGTCATCTGTTTAGATAAAAACATTAACACATTTATGAATATTTGGGAAAAGTTTAACAGTTTTATATCGATGAATTTATGCACAGATTATGTAATACACACACATTCTATAGTGTAGCCTGTTTAAAAAGCAACCTAACTGTTGACTCTGGTAACATTACAGTAATACCCCAAACTTATGCAATAGGTGAGACCAAGCGATAACCGTGTAAGTCGAATTTGTGTAAGTCGGGGTATAATTTCGCAATTTGTGTAAAATCCAAGTCGGATTATGTAAGCTAATAAATATTCTCATTAATCTTATCTTGTCTTTTGATTTGTTCATGGTTACAAGAAATCACCACATAGAGTCTCTCAAGTCTCCATAGATATAACCAACACAGAAATAAATAACACAAAATAAATTGTAGCTATGTGTCAATTCCGCACTACACGTCTGAACATGTAAGCTGAACAATAGTGTGTGGGGAGTGAGTAAAAGTTGCATGGTGCTCAAACAAAAGACGAATCAATGAGATTTGAAAATCACGTAACTCCAGGTTCGCATAAGTCGAGGTATTACTGTATGTTGTGAACTCAACTTACAGAAATGAATTGAAATATAATTGAACTGATTTCTCTAACAGGCATACTAAAATAGTTTTGTTCTTTTTGGAGAATTTTTATGAAATGCTTACACACTTGACAATTAGAAAAATTATTATTATTATTATTGAAAGATATAAATTGTCAAAATATATCCTACGCTCAGGAAAAATTTATTTTGTGATTAAACAAAATAAAAAAAACTAGGAAATACTGTATTTTAAAACAATGACAATTTATAATACAATTTTTTTTTCAAATCTATGATTGTAACTGAAAAAAAAGGAGAAAAAGTAAAACAATTTTTTACACATTTTTAATAATCTAATTGATTTTGATAATAATTGTTTACTTTAATGCCTTTGGTTTTCCACTGGGCAAGAATTATCTGCAAGTTTTTCTTTCGATATGTCATTGCTGTCATCATTGATTGGTGTCCGCCAATTATAACAGACATGGCCTCAGCCTCGGACATCTTGTGTTCGGTCTGTACGCCATGGTGAAATGAATTTTGAAGGTGTTTCTGAAAAATGTTTTAAACAGATATTTAATAAGTAAATTTTTAATTTTTTAAAAGATTAAATTTTCAAAGTATACATATATTTATTCTACATCAAGAGCTACATTAATAATCATTTAACTATTCAGATGTTAATAGTGCATAGTTTAATCTTGTCCAGTTTTGGCACTGAGCAAGATTTTTCTGTATTCCATTCTAGTGTATTTTAGATATTTAATGTTCTAATAATTCCTTTTAATTTTTAGGTATTAGTTTCAGTTTGTATCTCAAGTTTATTACTGTTATAACTAAATCACTTTTAATACTTTTAATTAATAAAATATAAACTTAAATTTTTAAGTGAATCATTCATTATAATATAAAGTACTATCTTTAATAAGAAGGATTAAAAATTCAATTTTATTTTTATATGCAGTAATACTTTTACTTTAAATATTTTACTTTAAAAACAAAGATTTTCTAAGTATTTTGATAGTAATTCTCTTATTGAAATGATAAACACTTTTGTGCTTGCTGCTGGAAAAACATGTTACACATTTAAATTTACTTCTGTCAATTATTTTGTCACATTGTATTTGATATCTTTCATATCCTCAAATTGCATTCCTTTGACTCTGGGAAGTTATAAATAGTCCAAGGAAAATTTAAAGCATGGAGGTTGCAAAACTCTTATCTAAATCTAATGAATAACATAATGATGGACCAATGACTTCTGGAATCAAGCCACTTTGATTTTATTAATTTTATCTAACTTTATTGAGAGTTTGAAATGATCATGTTTACAAAACTAGAGCTGCATTTCATAAATTTATGAATTAAAGCATGTATATGATAAAAATATCAGAAAGCAACTCCTTGTTTCTTGTAGAAACCTTAAGTTTCTGTAACAGCTAAAGATTTTTACAAGAAACAACTTTCAGAATGAATCTTGATTTCAGACACTGCTATTCAAGCAGAACTCCCTTGAATTGATTTGAATACAAACCAGTAATTTGAGTCTCATATATTTTATTTAAAAGCTGAAAAACATTGAGATATGAGATCTATGAAAAGTTCACAAACATTTTAAATTATATAACTGAGAACTGAATCTGAATGAAGCATGCACAGCTCTCTACCAGCAAGTTTTGTGTACTATCTGCCAATAGTAGTTTGTTCTATCTTCACTTCTTGTTATGTCATGGTCATTTGTGTAAACACATGTTAATTGTATTTTGTGATTTTCTTTCCATGAGTGCAATTGAATGAAGACTTCTGGGATGGCTAGGTCTGATAAAAATTTCATGAAAAACACCATCACTAGGGATGAGACATGGGTCTACAAATATGACATGGAAGCAAAATGTCAGTCATCACAGTGGGTGAAAAAATCTTTACCATGACCTAAAAATGTGCAACAAATTTGGTTGAGTGTGGAGGTCTTGCTCACTGTTTTGATGGTGTCGTTCATTGAGAACTTCTTCCAAAAGGAAAGAGAGTAAATAAGGAATACTATCTGGAGATGATTAAACATCTTCATGAAGTAGTGAGGAAGAAGAATGACTGTTTGGAGAGAACAGCATTATGACAATGCTCCTATCCACACATCACTGCTGATAATAGAGTCTTTGGCCAAGAACTTGATGTCACTTATTCTCTAACCTTCAAGTTCACCAGACTAAGGCTCAGCAGACTTATTTTTGTTTTCCATATTAAAATCTGCTCTCAAAAGTTGCTGTTTTGAATCCATTGACACCATTACAGAAAATTTGCTAGTGGAGCTGCACATCATCCCAAAAGAAGTGTTCCTTTCACGGCAGAAATGCTGAATTCAGTGCATAGACTCAGGAAGTAAATACTTCAAAGGTGACAAAACTGACTAGGCTAAATAAAATCTAGTTTACTAGCTTCTAGGTTAAAAGCAAACAACTTCTATTTGCAAAGTTTGCAAACTTTCCAGACAGACCTTGTATATTTGTCAAAGTCAAAAATAATTCTAAAATCACAAAGTACTGGTTATATTCAAATGAATTCAAAAGCAGTTCTGTTCAAATAATAAAATATCGAAGATTTTTCTCAAAAATTAAATCACATTTTTATAAGATACTTTTGTAGGTAAGAAATTAGTCTTGATTCCTCATTAATATTGAAAATAGCAAAGAGCAATGTCATTTTGTAGGTGATCGATTGGATATTGAATAAAGAAGAAATATCAAATGAAATCTCTGAGAAGTTTGAACACTTCATTTCTATTAATAATAAGAATTTTCACAATATGAAAGCTTTAACACAAAGTTGAAAGAATACAGTTCATGAATAAAACTGGAGTGTGATGGATTAATTGGCTGTTAGAAATGAGATTCAACATATCCACATAATTTTTGCATGATTATAATGAACATATTTCTGAAACTCAAATAATAGACATCATTTCCTTACTTTCCCTACATATTTACGAACATAAGAAAAAGTTGAAGAAGAAATCATTGTACTTAAAATGTTAATTCAACTTTATAAAACTTACAGGAAGAAATTCTTCTAAATCAAGACCTGCAGGTCTCTCCCTCTGGTCAGGAATGAAGTCGATGAAATTCGGCACCACCTGCCTCTCGGGATGTATTATTGCTCTCTGAGGTTTGACTTCTTTTTCCACTATTGGTACGGGTCTAACGACAGAGATGGTGGAAGAGTCAAAAGTCTTGATGTTGTGTCTCATGATAGAATGTTTTTCCAAAGGCTTTACAGTTGTTACAGTAATTGGAGGATTACAAACATTCTGAACTATTTTCTGATCTGGTATTTTTGTGTAAGTTAAATTTAATGCTGAGTGACCGACTGACATGGATGCGGTAGTAACTAATGAAATCTTCTTTTCTTTATTTGGCAAAAGGTTTGGCATCTCCACGGGAGGAACAAATGGTGGAAGTTTGTTGTCAGAAACGCTAACATTCTGCACATCGCTCGTCTGATTATTTAAATCTGAATAAAAAATAAAACAAACACAAAATTTATACTAAGCATTAAACTTTTACATATGTTAGCATAGAATTGTGTCAATGTTTTCAATATAAATTGAGATTTCTCCTGCAAAAAGCAAGCTAAATAAAATCTCTCTCCAGAAGCATAGTACAATCTTACTTTTGTGAGATAAGAATACTAATCTATATAATAAAAGCATACAAACAAATAAAAAAAGGAATATAAAATATGCATGCATACCCTCTGGAGGTGACGGAAACGGTTCCACCTTTGGAGGGGTTCGAGTCACTAGCAAAACAAAAACCAACAATTTAGTTCATGCTAATTACATGCAATATACTTTATATTCATGCAAACAAAATCTGACAAAGGAACTAAAAAGTACAGAATACAACTTAAGTATAATTATGTTGTAATAATAATGAAATTTTATTATTAAAATGATAAATTACTAGTGGGATTGTCAAAGTTTAATTAAAATCTTTTCTTTTCCTTATGTGTGAAACTTACTTAAAGAATTAATGAATTATTGTTTGTATTTTGTACTTCAGAATTAATAATTACGAATTAAAGAAATCACAATTTCTTCTATAAGATGTGTATAAATTCATTGGCAGAAGCATTCAATTCTATTCTCTAATATACCTTTGTATGTTTCTTATTTATTGAAACTCCCAATGAGCCCAAGAAAAATAATTGGTTTCTTCAATAAGTTTTTAATATATTAAATTATTCAAAAAATTTTGTAATTGAGATGTTTTTTAAATTTTGTCAATATAAAAGTCATANGTTTTAGTTTTTCACATTATTTAGTTTTGTTTTATTTATTGTTTTATATTTTTTGTGTGCTCTATTTCTTGTGGGAGAGGGAAGGAGCATGGTAAGAAGAAAATGTCTAGGGCCCCAAAGTGGGTTAATCCGGTCCTGGCTCTCGTTGGCTGTAGCTCACCGACTGCTCCGACCCGACTACAAATATTTAACTTTTTAAATCTGTCCGACTGGAACGACCAATCGGTCGCCCGACTGCTGTTGCCATGACAACACGACTTGAAGTCGGATTAGTCGGTCATAGTGTGAAACAGCCCTAAGACTATTTTCTCGTGTATTAAATCGATTGCAACCCAGTTCTAGAATGTTTGGTCTAGAATCTAGATTTTCGTTGTTTTTAAACCAGTGAAGTTTGCTTTATAAAACATTTGAGTACTTGGACAGTGGTTCTTCCCGATATTCTAATGTTTGAATTTTGTTCTGGACATTTCAAAATTTTAATATTCTAATTTGATTGTTAAGTAATGGTTCCGTTTAAACTTATTAGCCAGTAATTCGCCCTGGTTTGTCTTTGGCTGTTTTTCAATTCTTCAAATTTAGGACGTATTTGTCGTGTTTAGTGAGTGGTTGGTGCAATGTGAGGCTCATTGGGCTGCAATTTGAAAAAAATTGTAGACCTATAAATTCCCACTGTTGTCCATCAGTCTGTCTTTCTTTAATCTCGAGAACTGAGTTTGATGAAAGACAAAGCCAGATATGGAAACCTTAGTGGCAAGAGGCCCGATTAACTATATACGAACTTCCGATACAAACCGGAAGTCAAAAGATTTCAATTCAAAATTTCCCCCAAAAGGAATTAGATAACTGGCATGACTATTGCTAGCAGGAAAGTATGATGTACAGCACAGGGGCAAGTCACTACTAATTTGAGGTGGAGAGCATATATTTTAAATGAAGTAAATTTAAAATATGATTAAAAATTGCAGCCTGGCATTGTGACAGTGTCACCGTAAGTAATTGCTTGTTTTATATAACATTCCATACCAAACTTTGCCATTTTTTCAATAAAATTATCCAAACAATAATAAACTAAAATATTTTAATATGCTAAATTAACACGAGATACATTCACTCGCAGTCACTCGCTTACGTTAGTGGGCACGGTCGGAGATGTGCCCGCTGGCCGAACCGTCTCGCCAACGAAGAACTTAGAAGCTGCTCCGGGAACTCAAAGTTGAGTGGCACTTTTGTGATAAACGGAGTCGTTTGAGCAACCTGCCACCACCTTGGCATTTTGGTACTATTGCACACAATTTGTTAAACAATAAATACATTCAGCAGTTACTCTACATAAGAAGTAATTAATTCATGCATTAGTTCATTTGATCTTCATTATATTTACAATAAAAAGTTCTCTTTATACATATACCACACTGCAATGCACTTTTACATCTTATTCCTTTAGAGGAGTATAGGGGGCAGTGAATGATCTCTTATTGGAATATTTTCTAATTTTACAAAACCATGAAAGTTTGAGGCAATGGTACATTCTGTAATGGAATGAAAAACAACACGGTACACTTAGGATTTTTGATATACAAATTCTCAAAGGCAAATACTATCACAGTAAGAAAAACAAAGTCGAAAGATTTTGCTCTCTCGTGGACGAACCGGTCGCAGGTCCATCGAGAGGAAACGCGAACGTTAGGACCAACGACGACGGCAATCTCGAAACCTCCCGGAAAACTGGAGATCTGTACAAGTTTTCCCTCAGGGAAAATATATAAAAAACCTACCGACGAATCAGCGGAGTATTAACTGAAAGGAACTGGGCCTTCGGACACAAGAAGGCCTCCTTTCTCTTGCATCCGTGGATAACTTTTTACACAAATTATTCTAAGCTTCTCATGAGAATGTGGAGTTCGCGAAAAGACTGTCCCAACTTTCCCTGCAACGTCTGGCGTTTTAGTATAAAGGCACGTATCGACAGAAGTTGGTTATAACAACTCATACACTTGTTATACCTGGAGAAAAAATGAAATTTTATATTAGAAAAATACTGTACTTTAAGTTTTGCTTTGCAAATAAAGTTCTAATTAAACAATTTTAAATTAAATCTCAATCTGCCATATAAAAAAAAGTCTAGAAATAGTAACATTCCATAACAGTTATTTTTCCATTTCCAAGATTCTCATGTAACAATAAAATTTAAAATCTTGCTAAATCTTTTTCATAGATCATCATTAGATATATATTAAAATAAATAAATTTACCTCTCTTCTCTCGTGATGTCCACTCCCACCCCTGGAGGAGCAGTTATGTTTGTTTTGATAACCACTGCAAAATTTTTCAAGATGAGCTTCAGTCCTGCACATCCCACAGTCATATGCCTAAACAAAAAATATTTTCTTGAAATACTATCAAATTTCTTCCATTGTCTTTAAACATAAAAAAACTAACATGTAATAGGACAGCACAACATGCTCATAATAAATTAGTGAAGAATCTAAAATGAGATAAGTGAATAAATAGTACCGGAGAAGGCTGGCATTACGGGAAAAATTTCTATGTATCTCCAAATAAAACCTAGTGTGAATCCTACGACAAATTTCTTAAATAATACTTTCAAGATACGACCGACTCTCATGTCAAAAAATTATATTCCAAACAGAGGAAAGAACAATATTTTTAATAAGAGAATGCATAGAGAAATCATTATTTAGGTGTCTTTAAGTTACAAGACTGAAATGCAAGTTTTAGAAAGTCATTAGAGACTGATTCTACATGTAAGTGCAAGCCTGGACTCAACATTACTGGAATCCGCAACATAATTGTAAAACTAAACAAAACTTTAAGTTGGACAGAAACAAGATTGAAAGCAGAGTTAAAAATTATTTAACTTTTCTGTTTTCGTTCCGCACTTCTGTCATACTGCAACCAATAAAAACGCAAGGATTTGTGACGTGTAGTCAAGTGCATTAGTTATGTGTAGTTTGATTGTCATAATGACGGAAAGTGTAGCGAAAAGGATGAGGAAACAAATAAATTTAAAATTATTCTTCGAAGAAGTTAGAAAATACAGATGTCTGTATGACAAAAAAATGTAAATAATTCAAAGATTATTAACAATTTTATTGTTAATAATCTTTGAATTGTTAATATTTACATTAATATGCAGAGAAAGCACGGCAAAATCTGTAGCATCGTCCATGTTTGACTCTTTGCGACAATTACAGAACTGATCAATAGATGGTGCATTGCCACATAACATTCATTTCAGTGCTAGTGGAGTCAAGTTAAAATGAAAACATAACCGAAAAGAAAACTATGTTTCAGTTCTGTTTCCGAGTTTCTGTTTTCAGGTAATGTGGAGTCCAGGCTTAACACTAAAATAGTACATGTTAACAAAGCACTTTTCATGTAGATGCTACCAAAATGTCGGTGACTTATTTTTTAAACTACGTAGTTACCAATAAATGAAAAATCCAAAATTTGGATAAATGAATTAGGATGATTGTGGGAAGTTAGGTAGCAATGTTACCACAGGCATTTTCCATTGCATTCCCAATGTTAAAAAATCTCAAATGAAATATTTCACTTCAGTGTAACAAAGTATTACATGATTATTTTAACACACAAATCAAATGACTAATTGATAAAATTGAACAATAAACAAACTAGTCTAGATTTGCAACACAGATTGTATTTTGGTATAAAAAATAAACAAATAAATAAAATAACCATAACATAAAAACTGTACAAAGAAAACTTGTAACAAAAATCTGTAAGTTCTTTGAAATAATGCAAGAGATTTCTTGGATAAACATGCAGGAGTTTATGTCAAACATTTGACATCCGAGTACAGATTCAGAACATAATATGCATGCTTTATAAGAATCCAGTAGTCACATCCACTCTAAAATTACAAATGTAATAAATGCAAGTTTCAATATCGTTCAGAGTGAAAGAATGACTACAAATGCTTCAATTAAATGTTTTGGTCGCCAGTAAGAATCATAATGCAGCAATCTTTAATTGCTGCATGATGAAATACAGAGTCAGTTCTTTGGAAGCATTTTCAGTTTGTTAGAAATACACTGAGTGGACAAATTATTAGGGACTAATTTGGCTAGGTCCATTAGTGATGCATAGTGAGACAACAGCAATGAGTAGCATATAAAAAACATGCTCAATATTAACAGAACTGTTTATAAGTATAGTTAGCCAGAACATGGGTAATATAAAAGATTTAAACATCTTTGATTGAGGCATGATCTCAGGCAAGAAGAGTTGGTTCCAGTATTTTGAAAACTGCTAACATCCCTGGACTTTCTCAGGCAACAATATCTTGAGTGTTCAGAGAGTAGTAGCTGTCAAGCAATAAATGCAAGTGTGGACAGAAAGGCTTGTGAATTAATGGGGTAACAGGTAAACTGGCACAAATTGTCCATTCCAACAATTGAATTTGAAAGTAAATAATTTCTGTGAATCTACATCTTAATACAGGTATACCTCGACTTACGTCGTTTCGAGTTACGTCGTTCCCGATTATACGTCGTTTGTCAAAAAAGTATATGGAAAAATAAAAATCAAGTTTAAGTCATTTTATTCGACTTTACGTCTGTCCGCCACAAATATTGAAGTCGTAATATCACTAGATAAACGTTTAAAGCACATAAAATCATATTAAAATATATACATTTACAAGTATGTACTGTATTTACAGTACATGCATTCGTAAATTTAGATTACTTTTTTCTGTACTATATTAAAAACTAAAATTTATTTGTTTGTAAGCTTAAAATAGATCCTTATTAACCATATATTATTAAAAATGCATTAATAAATAAAATACAGAACCAGAAATGGTAATTTATGGTTTAGCCTAGTGACAAGTAGATTCGGACACAAGTAAATTCGACTTACGTCGCTTTCCTGGAACCAATTACCGACGTAAGGCAAAGTATACCTGTATTATATTTTGGCTTGTGTAATATAAGACAAACTTGCTCGGCTTGCTTCCAGTTTTTAGATTGACTGGTCGAAGACATGCTACACACATTTTGAATTCATAATTATTAATTTACAATTAAAAACTCCATACTCACGCTTCATATTTACTCTGCAGTAAATTCGATATCACGGGAAGTAAAATCTGACACATGTCCAAGTTCCACATGGACCTAGTTTAAAATTATTATAAAGTAAGAAAAATCTTAGTGAAACTTAATTGTTTAAAATTTTCAATTTTCTTACAGAAAATTAAATTAAATAGAAGTTCTAAACTTACGGCCTGAGAGTCACAACATTTAAAATGTCTACCAGTATTGATGAATCGTTCAAGTGAATGGCAGATTCTAAGGCATTCTGAAAAAAAAAAAAATTTTCCCGATTTAAAAAATAAATCCAGGCTGAAATACAGATATATATATATATATTTTTAAATTATACAAACAGACAATAATTTGCATTAATGTTTAAATAATTCTGTATCATATTTAACAATTTAATTTTCTAAATTAGTTGATGATTAACTTTCTTTGTTAGAAGTTTTGAAGATTAGTTGCAACTAAACTATTTTAAATTGGATACTTTTGTTGCAGGAGGAAAAATAAGATCTCAATCAGAATTATTATTATGGATTCTATTAACATTTAAATATATTTTTACATTGTATAATATTTGTGCAAATAATAGTAACTATAGTTTCAAGCAAAACTAGTTATAGTGGGACTGCATAATATAGTTGTCATCTGTTTAGATAAAAACATTAACACATTTATGAATATTTGGGAAAAGTTTAACAGTTTTATATCGATGAATTTATGCACAGATTATGTAATACACACACATTCTATAGTGTAGCCTGTTTAAAAAGCAACCTAACTGTTGACTCTGGTAACATTACAGTAATACCCCAAACTTATGCAATAGGTGAGACCAAGCGATAACCGTGTAAGTCGAATTTGTGTAAGTCGGGGTATAATTTCGCAATTTGTGTAAAATCCAAGTCGGATTATGTAAGCTAATAAATATTCTCATTAATCTTATCTTGTCTTTTGATTTGTTCATGGTTACAAGAAATCACCACATAGAGTCTCTCAAGTCTCCATAGATATAACCAACACAGAAATAAATAACACAAAATAAATTGTAGCTATGTGTCAATTCCGCACTACACGTCTGAACATGTAAGCTGAACAATAGTGTGTGGGGAGTGAGTAAAAGTTGCATGGTGCTCAAACAAAAGACGAATCAATGAGATTTGAAAATCACGTAACTCCAGGTTCGCATAAGTCGAGGTATTACTGTATGTTGTGAACTCAACTTACAGAAATGAATTGAAATATAATTGAACTGATTTCTCTAACAGGCATACTAAAATAGTTTTGTTCTTTTTGGAGAATTTTTATGAAATGCTTACACACTTGACAATTAGAAAAATTATTATTATTATTATTGAAAGATATAAATTGTCAAAATATATCCTACGCTCAGGAAAAATTTATTTTGTGATTAAACAAAATAAAAAAAACTAGGAAATACTGTATTTTAAAACAATGACAATTTATAATACAATTTTTTTTTCAAATCTATGATTGTAACTGAAAAAAAAGGAGAAAAAGTAAAACAATTTTTTACACATTTTTAATAATCTAATTGATTTTGATAATAATTGTTTACTTTAATGCCTTTGGTTTTCCACTGGGCAAGAATTATCTGCAAGTTTTTCTTTCGATATGTCATTGCTGTCATCATTGATTGGTGTCCGCCAATTATAACAGACATGGCCTCAGCCTCGGACATCTTGTGTTCGGTCTGTACGCCATGGTGAAATGAATTTTGAAGGTGTTTCTGAAAAATGTTTTAAACAGATATTTAATAAGTAAATTTTTAATTTTTTAAAAGATTAAATTTTCAAAGTATACATATATTTATTCTACATCAAGAGCTACATTAATAATCATTTAACTATTCAGATGTTAATAGTGCATAGTTTAATCTTGTCCAGTTTTGGCACTGAGCAAGATTTTTCTGTATTCCATTCTAGTGTATTTTAGATATTTAATGTTCTAATAATTCCTTTTAATTTTTAGGTATTAGTTTCAGTTTGTATCTCAAGTTTATTACTGTTATAACTAAATCACTTTTAATACTTTTAATTAATAAAATATAAACTTAAATTTTTAAGTGAATCATTCATTATAATATAAAGTACTATCTTTAATAAGAAGGATTAAAAATTCAATTTTATTTTTATATGCAGTAATACTTTTACTTTAAATATTTTACTTTAAAAACAAAGATTTTCTAAGTATTTTGATAGTAATTCTCTTGTTGAAATGATAAACACTTTTGTGCTTGCTGCTGGAAAAACATGTTACACATTTAAATTTACTTCTGTCAATTATTTTGTCACATTGTATTTGATATCTTTCATATCCTCAAATTGCATTCCTTTGACTCTGGGAAGTTATAAATAGTCCAAGGAAAATTTAAAGCATGGAGGTTGCAAAACTCTTATCTAAATCTAATGAATAACATAATGATGGACCAATGACTTCTGGAATCAAGCCACTTTGATTTTATTAATTTTATCTAACTTTATTGAGAGTTTGAAATGATCATGTTTACAAAACTAGAGCTGCATTTCATAAATTTATGAATTAAAGCATGTATATGATAAAAATATCAGAAAGCAACTCCTTGTTTCTTGTAGAAACCTTAAGTTTCTGTAACAGCTAAAGATTTTTACAAGAAACAACTTTCAGAATGAATCTTGATTTCAGACACTGCTATTCAAGCAGAACTCCCTTGAATTGATTTGAATACAAACCAGTAATTTGAGTCTCATATATTTTATTTAAAAGCTGAAAAACATTGAGATATGAGATCTATGAAAAGTTCACAAACATTTTAAATTATATAACTGAGAACTGAATCTGAATGAAGCATGCACAGCTCTCTACCAGCAAGTTTTGTGTACTATCTGCCAATAGTAGTTTGTTCTATCTTCACTTCTTGTTATGTCATGGTCATTTGTGTAAACACATGTTAATTGTATTTTGTGATTTTCTTTCCATGAGTGCAATTGAATGAAGACTTCTGGGATGGCTAGGTCTGATAAAAATTTCATGAAAAACACCATCACTAGGGATGAGACATGGGTCTACAAATATGACATGGAAGCAAAATGTCAGTCATCACAGTGGGTGAAAAAATCTTTACCATGACCTAAAAATGTGCAACAAATTTGGTTGAGTGTGGAGGTCTTGCTCACTGTTTTGATGGTGTCGTTCATTGAGAACTTCTTCCAAAAGGAAAGAGAATAAATAAGGAATACTATCTGGAGATGATTAAACATCTTCATGAAGTAGTGAGGAAGAAGAATGACTGTTTGGAGAGAACAGCATTATGACAATGCTCCTATCCACACATCACTGCTGATAATAGAGTCTTTGGCCAAGAACTTGATGTCACTTATTCTCTAACCTTCAAGTTCACCAGACTAAGGCTCAGCAGACTTATTTTTGTTTTCCATATTAAAATCTGCTCTCAAAAGTTGCTGTTTTGAATCCATTGACACCATTACAGAAAATTTGCTAGTGGAGCTGCACATCATCCCAAAAGAAGTGTTCCTTTCACGGCAGAAATGCTGAATTCAGTGCATAGACTCAGGAAGTAAATACTTCAAAGGTGACAAAACTGACTAGGCTAAATAAAATCTAGTTTACTAGCTTCTAGGTTAAAAGCAAACAACTTCTATTTGCAAAGTTTGCAAACTTTCCAGACAGACCTTGTATATTTGTCAAAGTCAAAAATAATTCTAAAATCACAAAGTACTGGTTATATTCAAATGAATTCAAAAGCAGTTCTGTTCAAATAATAAAATATCGAAGATTTTTCTCAAAAATTAAATCACATTTTTATAAGATACTTTTGTAGGTAAGAAATTAGTCTTGATTCCTCATTAATATTGAAAATAGCAAAGAGCAATGTCATTTTGTAGGTGATCGATTGGATATTGAATAAAGAAGAAATATCAAATGAAATCTCTGAGAAGTTTGAACACTTCATTTCTATTAATAATAAGAATTTTCACAATATGAAAGCTTTAACACAAAGTTGAAAGAATACAGTTCATGAATAAAACTGGAGTGTGATGGATTAATTGGCTGTTAGAAATGAGATTCAACATATCCACATAATTTTTGCATGATTATAATGAACATATTTCTGAAACTCAAATAATAGACATCATTTCCTTACTTTCCCTACATATTTACGAACATAAGAAAAAGTTGAAGAAGAAATCATTGTACTTAAAATGTTAATTCAACTTTATAAAACTTACAGGAAGAAATTCTTCTAAATCAAGACCTGCAGGTCTCTCCCTCTGGTCAGGAATGAAGTCGATGAAATTCGGCACCACCTGCCTCTCGGGATGTATTATTGCTCTCTGAGGTTTGACTTCTTTTTCCACTATTGGTACGGGTCTAACGACAGAGATGGTGGAAGAGTCAAAAGTCTTGATGTTGTGTCTCATGATAGAATGTTTTTCCAAAGGCTTTACAGTTGTTACAGTAATTGGAGGATTACAAACATTCTGAACTATTTTCTGATCTGGTATTTTTGTGTAAGTTAAATTTAATGCTGAGTGACCGACTGACATGGATGCGGTAGTAACTAATGAAATCTTCTTTTCTTTATTTGGCAAAAGGTTTGGCATCTCCACGGGAGGAACAAATGGTGGAAGTTTGTTGTCAGAAACGCTAACATTCTGCACATCGCTCGTCTGATTATTTAAATCTGAATAAAAAATAAAACAAACACAAAATTTATACTAAGCATTAAACTTTTACATATGTTAGCATAGAATTGTGTCAATGTTTTCAATATAAATTGAGATTTCTCCTGCAAAAAGCAAGCTAAATAAAATCTCTCTCCAGAAGCATAGTACAATCTTACTTTTGTGAGATAAGAATACTAATCTATATAATAAAAGCATACAAACAAATAAAAAAAGGAATATAAAATATGCATGCATACCCTCTGGAGGTGACGGAAACGGTTCCACCTTTGGAGGGGTTCGAGTCACTAGCAAAACAAAAACCAACAATTTAGTTCATGCTAATTACATGCAATATACTTTATATTCATGCAAACAAAATCTGACAAAGGAACTAAAAAGTACAGAATACAACTTAAGTATAATTATGTTGTAATAATAATGAAATTTTATTATTAAAATGATAAATTACTAGTGGGATTGTCAAAGTTTAATTAAAATCTTTTCTTTTCCTTATGTGTGAAACTTACTTAAAGAATTAATGAATTATTGTTTGTATTTTGTACTTCAGAATTAATAATTACGAATTAAAGAAATCACAATTTCTTCTATAAGATGTGTATAAATTCATTGGCAGAAGCATTCAATTCTATTCTCTAATATACCTTTGTATGTTTCTTATTTATTGAAACTCCCAATGAGCCCAAGAAAAATAATTGGTTTCTTCAATAAGTTTTTAATATATTAAATTATTCAAAAAATTTTGTAATTGAGATGTTTTTTAAATTTTGTCAATATAAAAGTCATAAAATGTCTTAAACTGTATAAAATACAGGATCTTCCAAAATAAATTCCACATTTTAAATTACTGTGATTATGTTAATTACTATCCAAGAACTATTTATTGTACACCAATTGATAAAGTAATCCTCAGAGTTTTGTCACCCATCTGCATTTGAAATGTTTCATTGTCTTTACGAAGCATTGTAAACAAAAATAACAACTCTGCAACAAAGAAGATATTTAATACTTTTTGCAGTTTGCAGAGTTGAAATTGGTCATCATTGTGCAACATGAGAAATCTACAGGAGTCACTGGAGGAGTGATAATAGAAATGCCTTAACAAGATAGAAAGAACGAGTATCAGATGTGTGCAGTGAAACATGAGGTGCCCTTGTTGAGAAATTTTAATGGGAAAATGTGAAACTGACTGTTTTCCAATGTTTTTATATATATTACAATATTCTTGGATAACAACACAATTACAGCTTTTAAAATTAAACATTAACATTCTTTTTGGAAGACCTTGTACATATACATAGTACATTTGGTCAATAGATACTATAATGCTTTAGCCAAACAAGTTTGTTCATTAGAGAAATAACTTAATTTGAAGAAAGAAATTCTATAACATTAAAAGCAATTATGCAAAACTGCTTAACTCAAATAATACTTTAGATAAACAATTCAAGATTGTCTTATTTTTAAATGTAGTTTCTTTTAGTGGAAAATGTTTGATTTAATGTTCATAAAAATAGATTTACAATACCAATGACACCAATTTTTTAATAAAAACTATGAAAAGAAAATTTTAATTTACATGAAGTTTTGCCAAACAGCTTAATTATTACTGTAATAAATTACAACGAATGTATTTTAATCTCTTAAAGTTAGTTTAACTATGAATGGCACCTAAGTAATAAAATCATTATTTGATACTTCTAGAAGTAAAAAATATTTTCTTACTTAACATTTAAAATACTGTTTGGCTGTGTTTTGCCTATATACTAAACATAACTGATCTTTGTATTTCGTAGCATCTTTGAATTTCATCTTAATTTTATCTTGACACACATTATTTGTGTAAATTTATTATTAATTGTAATTTAACTATATAAATTGTAAAATGCTCCTATGTTTCTTGTTTTAGAAGTATTAACCAATACTTACATTCTCTCCTAGGATGGAAAATTTCATTGTAATCGTGCTGATCTTTGATGTCAGCAGATGACGCAGCATCGTCTGACTGTTCGTCTGGCGTTGAAGAGTCTTCTTCAGCTACTTTTACTTCAACTCTAAAATAACAAATTACAGTGTGTAAAAAAATTATTTTCACAAACTATCTTACTGTAAAATTGACTCACTGAGATTTTCTGGAATGTCTATTTTTCACGAAACTCTTCCGGAAATGTCCTCTAAATTTATTAACAACAAATGCTTTTAATATAATCTCAGAGAGGTTTACAAAATAAATTAGTTATAATTAGCACATTACCCAGGTGAAAAGGGAGAAGGTGTGATAACTACGGAAGGTCCCATTTGACCAAATGGCTGAACTCTCTTCAAATCTACCACGTAAACTGATACACTGGTTAAAGAGAAAGCTCCAGCAATCTAAAAAGCAAGTTAAATGAGTTAAACCTGTTGAATTTTGAAAACAATCTTATTTTAAAATGATTACCAATTGATTCTGAGATGCTGCTATATCAGTGACTTTACCCCATCCCATGACTAGAGTGTCAAATGTACGTGCGGGTTCCCAACCGTAAACCTTTAATAAATCTTGAGCACCACTAAATAAACATTCGCCTTCAGGATTGAAATATATACATCTGTAATAAAATGTGTGACATTAAATTTATGAAGTTACTTAGTTATTCTATATTTTAAACGTACCTAACAGGAGCAGAATCCCCTTCCGTAGAAGTGACCAATTGAAAGCTTTCAAGATCCCAAAATTTTACTGTTCTAAAATTAAAATACTTTATAAGTTAATAATTTAAAAAACAAATATAAAAGACCCCATATAAGCTTTATGAGAAATTGGTCCTGGTGGTTTAGCTGCAACTTTTATATTTTATAGTTCTAGTAGTCCTGATCAAAAGTCAAAGGCACGAAGTCAAAAAATGGGCATTTTTGAGCATCCAAGATGCAAAGATAGCATAATTCATGCCAATGTTGTAAGGCCCTACTTAAATCTTTTTCATTTCAAAATATAAAAAGATATGCCCCAACATTTTGAAAAACTTATCAAGTCTCAGGAGTGCATCTCTTGCAAGAAGGGTTCCCATGCACCATATGGAGGAGTGCATTATAAACTTAAACAGGCAAGAATCAATGTTGCTTGTACCACATAATGAATAAATATTGATGTTTGGCACAGAGAAATACAGATAACATAACTAACATCAATGACATTTGAAAACACATTTTATATTTTGAAAAAAAGATTTAGGGCTTCACAACATATGTGCAAATTATACTGTTTTTGCATATTGGATGTTTGATAATTCACAAATGGTCATTTTTTTTATTTTGTGCCTATGGTGACTTTTGATTGGAACCACTAGAACTACAAAATATGAAAGATTCAGCCAAATTCACCAACATCCATTTTCCATAAGTTTTTTGCAAGGTTTATGATGAATCTTGATTCATCATAATATCATATTTGTTATACCTGTCTGAGCTTCCACTGGCAAGAAGGAATTCGTTTGGATGGAAATCCACATCACCGACGGAACCCGTGTGGCCTCGAAATTCATTCAGCATTTTCCCGGCAGGAAGGTCCCACAACTGAAATGAAAACATGTTTTTCCATCAAAAATTTCTAAAATTATTAGAAAATATATAAAATTTTCATTAGATTTCATATTATTTTAAATATACTTGCCCATATTAAAACAGACACAACACATATAGTCACTTCTGTTGTCTGGTTGTGTTTAAACACAAGTGACAATATGCACAATATTGCAAATACAACGCAAATAAATGTTTTCTGTAAAATATAATATTTGAAAAGTAGAACAGTGACATTCTTTTCAAATACAGTGAAAACTGCTTAGGCGACCACCTGCATTCGACGGGCATCTGTCAAAACAGGCAAAAATTTCTGGCACTGAATAATTTATCCATAATCTTCATATAAGTTACCTGTATTAAACGACCACCTGTGTAACACAACCAAGAGCATCGATTTTTGGTCCAAAACAACATACAACAACTGTAATAAGCACCACTTCCGCAAATATATCTGGTCTAAACTATTGTTCAACAACGTTTCCCCCCTCCTATTATAATGAATTAGTCTAAACTCTCATTCGAATCCATCTTGGGCACTTCTCCCACCCTTGAAATTAGGTGCAGGTCTTAATGAATTAGTCTAGCAACAAAGGAAATTCATTTCAGTTTGTTCGAAATTGTCCAAAAAACGAAAGAAATGCACAGTGCTGTCGTTAGAAGATCGTATTAAAGTTATCACAACAGCAATTAGCGGTGAACTTTAACTGTGAGAAAACGAAATTTATTTTACTGTAGACCTACAGTATTTTCCTTGGAGGTATAAAATATTGTACACAATACAATTAATCGGCTGATCTCATTGTTTGATAAAATTTATTTTTATTTATTTATTTAGAAGCTCATATACAGTACATGTGTGATAAATAGTTTCTGTATCAACCTACCTTATTTCCACGATATTTTTAGAAAAATAATATCCAAGTAATTTTTGCACGCAAAATATTCAAAGAATAATAAATGCATTAATGCAAAAATCAGTTTTACAGACAACCTTCCTTTTTCAATTCTGCAATGACAATTGTGAAATGTAATGANTATTAACCATATATTATTAAAAATGCATTAATAAATAAAATACAGAACCAGAAATGGTAATTTATGGTTTAGCCTAGTGACAAGTAGATTCGGACACAAGTAAATTCGACTTACGTCGCTTTCCTGGAACCAATTACCGACGTAAGGCAAGGTATACCTGTATTATATTTTGGCTTGTGTAATATAAGACAAACTTGCTCGGCTTGCTTCCAGTTTTTAGATTGACTGGTCGAAGACATGCTACACACATTTTGAATTCATAATTATTAATTTACAATTAAAAACTCCATACTCACGCTTCATATTTACTCTGCAGTAAATTTGATATCACGGGAAGTAAAATCTGACACATGTCCAAGTTCCACATGGACCTAGTTTAAAATTATTATAAAGTAAGAAAAATCTTAGTGAAACTTAATTGTTTAAAATTTTCAATTTTCTTACAGAAAATTAAATTAAATAGAAGTTCTAAACTTACGGCCTGAGAGTCACAACATTTAAAATGTCTACCAGTATTGATGAATCGTTCAAGTGAATGGCAGATTCTAAGGCATTCTGAAAAAAGAAAAAATTTTCCCGATTTAAAAAATAAATCCAGGCTGAAATACAGATATATATATATATATATATATATTTTTTTAAATTATACAAACAGACAATAATTTGCATTAATGTTTAAATAATTCTGTATCATATTTAACAATTTAATTTTCTAAATTAGTTGATGATTAACTTTCTTTGTTAGAAGTTTTGAAGATTAGTTGCAACTAAACTATTTTAAATTGGATACTTTTGTTGCAGGAGGAAAAATAAGATCTCAATCAGAATTATTATTATGGATTCTATTAACATTTAAATATATTTTTACATTGTATAATATTTGTGCAAATAATAGTAACTATAGTTTCAAGCAAAACTAGTTATAGTGGGACTGCATAATATAGTTGTCATCTGTTTAGATAAAAACATTAACACATTTATGAATATTTGGGAAAAGTTTAACAGTTTTATATCGATGAATTTATGCACAGATTATGTAATACACACACATTCTATAGTGTAGCCTGTTTAAAAAGCAACCTAACTGTTGACTCTGGTAACATTACAGTAATACCCCAAACTTATGCAATAGGTGAGACCAAGCGATAACCGTGTAAGTCGAATTTGTGTAAGTCGGGGTATAATTTCGCAATTTGTGTAAAATCCAAGTCGGATTATGTAAGCTAATAAATATTCTCGTTAATCTTATCTTGTCTTTTGATTTGTTCATGGTTACAAGAAATCACCACATAGAGTCTCTCAAGTCTCCATAGATATAACCAACACAGAAATAAATAACACAAAATAAATTGTAGCTATGTGTCAATTCCGCACTACACGTCTGAACATGTAAGCTGAACAATAGTGTGTGGGGAGTGAGTAAAAGTTGCATGGTGTTCAAACAAAAGACGAATCAATGAGATTTGAAAATCACGTAACTCCAGGTTCGCATAAGTCGAGGTATTACTGTATGTTGTGAACTCAACTTACAGAAATGAATTGAAATATAATTGAACTGATTTCTCTAACAGGCATACTAAAATAGTTTTGTCCTTTTTGGAGAATTTTTATGAAATGCTTACACACTTGACAATTAGAAAAATTATTATTATTATTATTGAAAGATATAAATTGTCAAAATATATCCTACGCTCAGGAAAAATTTATTTTGTGATTAAACAAAATAAAAAAAACTAGGAAATACTGTATTTTAAAACAATGACAATTTATAATACAATTTTTTTTTCAAATCTATGATTGTAACTGAAAAAAAAGGAGAAAAAGTAAAACAATTTTTTACACATTTTTAATAATCTAATTGATTTTGATAATAATTGTTTACTTTAATGCCTTTGGTTTTCCACTGGGCAAGAATTATCTGCAAGTTTTTCTTTCGATATGTCATTGCTGTCATCATTGATTGGTGTCCGCCAATTATAACAGACATGGCCTCAGCCTCGGACATCTTGTGTTCGGTCTGTACGCCATGGTGAAATGAATTTTGAAGGTGTTTCTGAAAAATGTTTTAAACAGATATTTAATAAGTAAATTTTTAATTTTTTAAAAGATTAAATTTTCAAAGTATACATATATTTATTCTACATCAAGAGCTACATTAATAATCATTTAACTATTCAGATGTTAATAGTGCATAGTTTAATCTTGTCCAGTTTTGGCACTGAGCAAGATTTTTCTGTATTCCATTCTAGTGTATTTTAGATATTTAATGTTCTAATAATTCCTTTTAATTTTTAGGTATTAGTTTCAGTTTGTATCTCAAGTTTATTACTGTTATAACTAAATCACTTTTAATACTTTTAATTAATAAAATATAAACTTAAATTTTTAAGTGAATCATTCATTATAATATAAAGTACTATCTTTAATAAGAAGGATTAAAAATTCAATTTTATTTTTATATGCAGTAATACTTTTACTTTAAATATTTTACTTTAAAAACAAAGATTTTCTAAGTATTTTGATAGTAATTCTCTTGTTGAAATGATAAACACTTTTGTGCTTGCTGCTGGAAAAACATGTTACACATTTAAATTTACTTCTGTCAATTATTTTGTCACATTGTATTTGATATCTTTCATATCCTCAAATTGCATTCCTTTGACTCTGGGAAGTTATAAATAGTCCAAGGAAAATTTAAAGCATGGAGGTTGCAAAACTCTTATCTAAATCTAATGAATAACATAATGATGGACCAATGACTTCTGGAATCAAGCCACTTTGATTTTATTAATTTTATCTAACTTTATTGAGAGTTTGAAATGATCATGTTTACAAAACTAGAGCTGCATTTCATAAATTTATGAATTAAAGCATGTATATGATAAAAATATCAGAAAGCAACTCCTTGTTTCTTCTAGAAACCTTAAGTTTCTGTAACAGCTAAAGATTTTTACAAGAAACAACTTTCAGAATGAATCTTGATTTCAGACACTGCTATTCAAGCAGAACTCCCTTGAATTGATTTGAATACAAACCAGTAATTTGAGTCTCATATATTTTATTTAAAAGCTGAAAAACATTGAGATATGAGATCTATGAAAAGTTCACAAACATTTTAAATTATATAACTGAGAACTGAATCTGAATGAAGCATGCACAGCTCTCTACCAGCAAGTTTTGTGTACTATCTGCCAATAGTAGTTTGTTCTATCTTCACTTCTTGTTATGTCATGGTCATTTGTGTAAACACATGTTAATTGTATTTTGTGATTTTCTTTCCATGAGTGCAATTGAATGAAGACTTCTGGGATGGCTAGGTCTGATAAAAATTTCATGAAAAACACCATCACTAGGGATGAGACATGGGTCTACAAATATGACATGGAAGCAAAATGTCAGTCATCACAGTGGGTGAAAAAATCTTTACCATGACCTAAAAATGTGCAACAAATTTGGTTGAGTGTGGAGGTCTTGCTCACTGTTTTGATGGTGTCGTTCATTGAGAACTTCTTCCAAAAGGAAAGAGAGTAAATAAGGAATACTATCTGGAGATGATTAAACATCTTCATGAAGTAGTGAGGAAGAAGAATGACTGTTTGGAGAGAACAGCATTATGACAATGCTCCTATCCACACATCACTGCTGATAATAGAGTCTTTGGCCAAGAACTTGATGTCACTTATTCTCTAACCTTCAAGTTCACCAGACTAAGGCTCAGCAGACTTATTTTTGTTTTCCATATTAAAATCTGCTCTCAAAAGTTGCTGTTTTGAATCCATTGACACCATTACAGAAAATTTGCTAGTGGAGCTGCACATCATCCCAAAAGAAGTGTTCCTTTCACGGCAGAAATGCTGAATTCAGTGCATAGACTCAGGAAGTAAATACTTCAAAGGTGACAAAACTGACTAGGCTAAATAAAATCTAGTTTACTAGCTTCTAGGTTAAAAGCAAACAACTTCTATTTGCAAAGTTTGCAAACTTTCCAGACAGACCTTGTATATTTGTCAAAGTCAAAAATAATTCTAAAATCACAAAGTACTGGTTATATTCAAATGAATTCAAAAGCAGTTCTGTTCAAATAATAAAATATCGAAGATTTTTCTCAAAAATTAAATCACATTTTTATAAGATACTTTTGTAGGTAAGAAATTAGTCTTGATTCCTCATTAATATTGAAAATAGCAAAGAGCAATGTCATTTTGTAGGTGATCGATTGGATATTGAATAAAGAAGAAATATCAAATGAAATCTCTGAGAAGTTTGAACACTTCATTTCTATTAATAATAAGAATTTTCACAATATGAAAGCTTTAACACAAAGTTGAAAGAATACAGTTCATGAATAAAACTGGAGTGTGATGGATTAATTGGCTGTTAGAAATGAGATTCAACATATCCACATAATTTTTGCATGATTATAATGAACATATTTCTGAAACTCAAATAATAGACATCATTTCCTTACTTTCCCTACATATTTACGAACATAAGAAAAAGTTGAAGAAGAAATCATTGTACTTAAAATGTTAATTCAACTTTATAAAACTTACAGGAAGAAATTCTTCTAAATCAAGACCTGCAGGTCTCTCCCTCTGGTCAGGAATGAAGTCGATGAAATTCGGCACCACCTGCCTCTCGGGATGTATTATTGCTCTCTGAGGTTTGACTTCTTTTTCCACTATTGGTACGGGTCTAACGACAGAGATGGTGGAAGAGTCAAAAGTCTTGATGTTGTGTCTCATGATAGAATGTTTTTCCAAAGGCTTTACAGTTGTTACAGTAATTGGAGGATTACAAACATTCTGAACTATTTTCTGATCTGGTATTTTTGTGTAAGTTAAATTTAATGCTGAGTGACCGACTGACATGGATGCGGTAGTAACTAATGAAATCTTCTTTTCTTTATTTGGCAAAAGGTTTGGCATCTCCACGGGAGGAACAAATGGTGGAAGTTTGTTGTCAGAAACGCTAACATTCTGCACATCGCTCGTCTGATTATTTAAATCTGAATAAAAAATAAAACAAACACAAAATTTATACTAAGCATTAAACTTTTACATATGTTAGCATAGAATTGTGTCAATGTTTTCAATATAAATTGAGATTTCTCCTGCAAAAAGCAAGCTAAATAAAATCTCTCTCCAGAAGCATAGTACAATCTTACTTTTGTGAGATAAGAATACTAATCTATATAATAAAAGCATACAAACAAATAAAAAAAGGAATATAAAATATGCATGCATACCCTCTGGAGGTGACGGAAACGGTTCCACCTTTGGAGGGGTTCGAGTCACTAGCAAAACAAAAACCAACAATTTAGTTCATGCTAATTACATGCAATATACTTTATATTCATGCAAACAAAATCTGACAAAGGAACTAAAAAGTACAGAATACAACTTAAGTATAATTATGTTGTAATAATAATGAAATTTTATTATTAAAATGATAAATTACTAGTGGGATTGTCAAAGTTTAATTAAAATCTTTTCTTTTCCTTATGTGTGAAACTTACTTAAAGAATTAATGAATTATTGTTTGTATTTTGTACTTCAGAATTAATAATTACGAATTAAAGAAATCACAATTTCTTCTATAAGATGTGTATAAATTCATTGGCAGAAGCATTCAATTCTATTCTCTAATATACCTTTGTATGTTTCTTATTTATTGAAACTCCCAATGAGCCCAAGAAAAATAATTGGTTTCTTCAATAAGTTTTTAATATATTAAATTATTCAAAAAATTTTGTAATTGAGATGTTTTTTAAATTTTGTCAATATAAAAGTCATAAAATGTCTTAAACTGTATAAAATACAGGATCTTCCAAAATAAATTCCACATTTTAAATTACTGTGATTATGTTAATTACTATCCAAGAACTATTTATTGTACACCAATTGATAAAGTAATCCTCAGAGTTTTGTCACCCATCTGCATTTGAAATGTTTCATTGTCTTTACGAAGCATTGTAAACAAAAATAACAACTCTGCAACAAAGAAGATATTTAATACTTTTTGCAGTTTGCAGAGTTGAAATTGGTCATCATTGTGCAACATGAGAAATCTACAGGAGTCACTGGAGGAGTGATAATAGAAATGCCTTAACAAGATAGAAAGAACGAGTATCAGATGTGTGCAGTGAAACATGAGGTGCCCTTGTTGAGAAATTTTAATGGGAAAATGTGAAACTGACTGTTTTCCAATGTTTTTATATATATTACAATATTCTTGGATAACAACACAATTACAGCTTTTAAAATTAAACATTAACATTCTTTTTGGAAGACCTTGTACATATACATAGTACATTTGGTCAATAGATACTATAATGCTTTAGCCAAACAAGTTTGTTCATTAGAGAAATAACTTAATTTGAAGAAAGAAATTCTATAACATTAAAAGCAATTATGCAAAACTGCTTAACTCAAATAATACTTTAGATAAACAATTCAAGATTGTCTTATTTTTAAATGTAGTTTCTTTTAGTGGAAAATGTTTGATTTAATGTTCATAAAAATAGATTTACAATACCAATGACACCAATTTTTTAATAAAAACTATGAAAAGAAAATTTTAATTTACATGAAGTTTTGCCAAACAGCTTAATTATTACTGTAATAAATTACAACGAATGTATTTTAATCTCTTAAAGTTAGTTTAACTATGAATGGCACCTAAGTAATAAAATCATTATTTGATACTTCTAGAAGTAAAAAATATTTTCTTACTTAACATTTAAAATACTGTTTGGCTGTGTTTTGCCTATATACTAAACATAACTGATCTTTGTATTTCGTAGCATCTTTGAATTTCATCTTAATTTTATCTTGACACACATTATTTGTGTAAATTTATTATTAATTGTAATTTAACTATATAAATTGTAAAATGCTCCTATGTTTCTTGTTTTAGAAGTATTAACCAATACTTACATTCTCTCCTAGGATGGAAAATTTCATTGTAATCGTGCTGATCTTTGATGTCAGCAGATGACGCAGCATCGTCTGACTGTTCGTCTGGCGTTGAAGAGTCTTCTTCAGCTACTTTTACTTCAACTCTAAAATAACAAATTACAGTGTGTAAAAAAATTATTTTCACAAACTATCTTACTGTAAAATTGACTCACTGAGATTTTCTGGAATGTCTATTTTTCACGAAACTCTTCCGGAAATGTCCTCTAAATTTATTAACAACAAATGCTTTTAATATAATCTCAGAGAGGTTTACAAAATAAATTAGTTATAATTAGCACATTACCCAGGTGAAAAGGGAGAAGGTGTGATAACTACGGAAGGTCCCATTTGACCAAATGGCTGAACTCTCTTCAAATCTACCACGTAAACTGATACACTGGTTAAAGAGAAAGCTCCAGCAATCTAAAAAGCAAGTTAAATGAGTTAAACCTGTTGAATTTTGAAAACAATCTTATTTTAAAATGATTACCAATTGATTCTGAGATGCTGCTATATCAGTGACTTTACCCCATCCCATGACTAGAGTGTCAAATGTACGTGCGGGTTCCCAACCGTAAACCTTTAATAAATCTTGAGCACCACTAAATAAACATTCGCCTTCAGGATTGAAATATATACATCTGTAATAAAATGTGTGACATTAAATTTATGAAGTTACTTAGTTATTCTATATTTTAAACGTACCTAACAGGAGCAGAATCCCCTTCCGTAGAAGTGACCAATTGAAAGCTTTCAAGATCCCAAAATTTTACTGTTCTAAAATTAAAATACTTTATAAGTTAATAATTTAAAAAACAAATATAAAAGACCCCATATAAGCTTTATGAGAAATTGGTCCTGGTGGTTTAGCTGCAACTTTTATATTTTATAGTTCTAGTAGTCCTGATCAAAAGTCAAAGGCACGAAGTCAAAAAATGGGCATTTTTGAGCATCCAAGATGCAAAGATAGCATAATTCATGCCAATGTTGTAAGGCCCTACTTAAATCTTTTTCATTTCAAAATATAAAAAGATATGCCCCAACATTTTGAAAAACTTATCAAGTCTCAGGAGTGCATCTCTTGCAAGAAGGGTTCCCATGCACCATATGGAGGAGTGCATTATAAACTTAAACAGGCAAGAATCAATGTTGCTTGTACCACATAATGAATAAATATTGATGTTTGGCACAGAGAAATACAGATAACATAACTAACATCAATGACATTTGAAAACACATTTTATATTTTGAAAAAAAGATTTAGGGCTTCACAACATATGTGCAAATTATACTGTTTTTGCATATTGGATGTTTGATAATTCACAAATGGTCATTTTTTTTATTTTGTGCCTATGGTGACTTTTGATTGGAACCACTAGAACTACAAAATATGAAAGATTCAGCCAAATTCACCAACATCCATTTTCCATAAGTTTTTTGCAAGGTTTATGATGAATCTTGATTCATCATAATATCATATTTGTTATACCTGTCTGAGCTTCCACTGGCAAGAAGGAATTCGTTTGGATGGAAATCCACATCACCGACGGAACCCGTGTGGCCTCGAAATTCATTCAGCATTTTCCCGGCAGGAAGGTCCCACAACTGAAATGAAAACATGTTTTTCCATCAAAAATTTCTAAAATTATTAGAAAATATATAAAATTTTCATTAGATTTCATATTATTTTAAATATACTTGCCCATATTAAAACAGACACAACACATATAGTCACTTCTGTTGTCTGGTTGTGTTTAAACACAAGTGACAATATGCACAATATTGCAAATACAACGCAAATAAATGTTTTCTGTAAAATATAATATTTGAAAAGTAGAACAGTGACATTCTTTTCAAATACAGTGAAAACTGCTTAGGCGACCACCTGCATTCGACGGGCATCTGTCAAAACAGGCAAAAATTTCTGGCACTGAATAATTTATCCATAATCTTCATATAAGTTACCTGTATTAAACGACCACCTGTGTAACACAACCAAGAGCATCGATTTTTGGTCCAAAACAACATACAACAACTGTAATAAGCACCACTTCCGCAAATATATCTGGTCTAAACTATTGTTCAACAACGTTTCCCCCCTCCTATTATAATGAATTAGTCTAAACTCTCATTCGAATCCATCTTGGGCACTTCTCCCACCCTTGAAATTAGGTGCAGGTCTTAATGAATTAGTCTAGCAACAAAGGAAATTCATTTCAGTTTGTTCGAAATTGTCCAAAAAACGAAAGAAATGCACAGTGCTGTCGTTAGAAGATCGTATTAAAGTTATCACAACAGCAATTAGCGGTGAACTTTAACTGTGAGAAAACGAAATTTATTTTACTGTAGACCTACAGTATTTTCCTTGGAGGTATAAAATATTGTACACAATACAATTAATCGGCTGATCTCATTGTTTGATAAAATTTATTTTTATTTATTTATTTAGAAGCTCATATACAGTACATGTGTGATAAATAGTTTCTGTATCAACCTACCTTATTTCCACGATATTTTTAGAAAAATAATATCCAAGTAATTTTTGCACGCAAAATATTCAAAGAATAATAAATGCATTAATGCAAAAATCAGTTTTACAGACAACCTTCCTTTTTCAATTCTGCAATGACAATTGTGAAATGTAATGAAATCGTATAATGAGAAAAAATAATAAAATTGTTTTATTATTAATTGATAATTTTTCTTATTGTACTTAAAAAAATATTAAAAAATTAATCTTATTTTAACTTTTAAAAATACTGTATTTTTAAAAGTTAAAATAAGATTAAACTTCTAAATATCACTTTTGGTAGCTGTTATTATGTTCTATGTATGTATGTCTCTTTAATCCGACATTAAGTTTGGTAGACTATCATTACAGCTTTCAGGTTAGACACTTCTTTTATTGTTTCCACATATGTATTTCAGACTTATATAAATGTTAACTCCCTCTTCAGTGCAATACTACAAATTATTAAAAAAAAAACAATTAGTAACATGACAAAATTCTTTGCGTGCAGGTCATATTTACTATATAACTATCATACTTAAAAATTGTCACACTTATACGATACCTGTGGTTCTGTCTTCTAAAACCACGGTGTATAACAGGTAACATTGAAAAGATTTTAAAATACAGCCATTAAAAACACCACAAATACATTTTCCAACATTAATACAAAAAACCTAATATATTAATAATTTTATAATTTTTTACTTTATAACATTATGTATCTTAATAAAGTAACAATATAACATGATATTCACTTTTAACATTTGCTCATAAAATCTTATATAAGTACAACTTTTAAAGAACGTGTATGTTCTGTAATATAACATTGCAGTAACTGCAATTATAATCATTTTACAGATTAATTACATGTAGCATAGTAATATTAAAAACATTTTTCAAGAGAATACATACACAATTTTACAATATATTTCTAATTATTTTCTGTCACAATACTATGATAACTACATTACAATCAATTTTTTTCATTAGCGCCACCTATTATATTATACCACTGTTGATCTATTTGCATACCAAGATAAGATTAAACTAATGAATACCAAAACCAAAGTGATGTAGAGATACAATGCGCTTGTATATCGATGATGTAATACACGTAACTGAGGAGCAAACAAAAACAACCGAGTTGAATTAATTAAGTCGAAAAAAAGAAAGTGTGCATTATAATTCAGAAAATGCAAGTACTATATTAATCTTTAAAATATTGGTATTAAATCTGTCTTATAAAATCACGACGACTCCTGTAAATCGAGTTATCTGATAAGAATAAAATACAATACCAATATAGCCCTATTGTTGAGAAAATTTACTTATTTTTGCTCACCTTAAGTTTTGCTTAGTAGAAATGCTTACAGAAATAGGGTATTACAGCACCACCTGTATTGGAAGACCACCTGTCTAAAAGACCACTTTATGAAGGAACTATGCATGGTCGTCATAGACAGGTTTTACTGTATTATATTTTACAGAAAACATTTATTTGCATTGTATTAGTCAAAAACATATATATATGTTACTGTATTTTAGTTTTCAAATTAATTGATAATTGAATCATTTTAAAAGGATTAACATTTGTTACCAAGTATGCTGCTGTTGTCAGTAATCAGGGTTAGCAAGTTGGTGGAAGATACAGTACTTTTTATAGACAATTTTGAGTACTGATTTTTATATCAATATTTATATGGTATTGTGTTATAAGATATTGTACTTTTTTGGAGCAGCCTAAAATGAAGAGCCTAACAATCTTTAATATTGTGCCAAAGGTCGAGTGTTCAAGCTCATGCTCAATATCATGTCACATTTAGTGGGAAGATATTCCCACATTTAGTGGGAAGATTTTTGTAGGAACGAGAGTTTAAGCTAGTGGGAAGCTTATCTATTGATATAAATTGGCAATGACAATATTATTATCCAAGAATTGACTAGTATCAGATTACTGAATGTATCAAACTAGCAAATGACTAGATTACAGAGATTGTACCATATGAAGAAAATGAAGAACAGACAAATTAAGTCTGCATTTTTGAGAAAAGTAATTTGAAAAATAACGTTATCAGTACTTATGTTATGAATTAATTTTTCCCTTGCTCATTAAGCATGTAATTCTATAACAATACTCACAAACATAAATAAGGTTTACTAAAATTTTATTATATCTAAACCATAAAATATTTGGTTTCCTATATATTAATAAATGATGGCTAGTATCTTTTCTGAAGACAAAAATAAAAACAGAAAAACTCATAAAATTTTCTATTATGCATTAAAATATTTGATGATGATGCTTTTATTTTATAGTATTTAATTTGTATAACTACAAAGGTTATCTGAAGTAAGGGTTTATCACACTAAGTGACCAATCTAATATATTTTAAAATTCTTTATGCTCCTGTACACAATGAATATATACAATTTAGGACTAAAATCATAAATTTAGCCAAAATGCATTTTGGATTTTACAATAATATAACCCCTCTTCAGTTACAGATGTTATTTAAAAATTATTTTTAAAGTTATAAATATGTATATATATGCAGACAGTGACCAATAACGGGTTGGCAAATCAGTTCTCCAGGCAGTCACCAACATTAATTTTTCCTCTCCAGCGGTTATTATTGACCTAGCTGCAACTATCAGCTCCCACCAAACACCCCTTGAAATCGGGTGGACCCCTGGTCACGTTGGCATTCACATAAATGAAGTGGCAGACCAAGCCACTAGTCATGACACTCCCATCAACTCCTGGTGGAGACCTCTCATGGCACATGACCTGATACATCAGATGCGGGAATCGATCATCCACAACTACACAGATACTACTATTCTTTGAGGAAAATGTCGCGACCATCTCCAAAACTTTCGTCCCTTGGATATATCATCACGCCTCGTCTCGCCACACAGAAACCCTATTGGCTAGACTTTGAACCGATACGGTCCCCTTAAACAACTTCCTCTATTCTCGACGCCAATGTGCCTCGCCAGAAATTTCCGTCCACTATTGGCTTGTCTGCCCGCAATACACACGTGCCCGCCAAGAGCTAGGCCGTCTCTTAACCTTGGACCTCACAATCGTCCATACATTAACTCCAATATACTGGCCTCATACTGACCTTCCTCCTCGCCAACATATCAAAATCTTGGATCGTTTTGTTCACCACACCAACCGCTTTACCTAATTTCTAAGTGGAGTGATTCGGAGAAAAAGCCAACAGGCTAGAGTCTCCATATAAATAAGACAAAGAAAGAAAGAAAGGAAAACGGGTTTACAATACTTGTTTTTTTTTTTAATTTCTTAACTAAGAACTTCATTTTATCATCTATTATAATTATTTCAAGCCAAAAATAAATTCTTGAGTACATATTTTATTTGCCACTTCATAAAGCTTACAACTTATTTCTATTTACTTTTGATTATCAGTTTTTGTTTGGTTATATGTTATTGCTATCTTTTTTTTAATCATTTCTATTGATTTGCTCCTTTTTATATAATAGGTCTAATTCACAATGACACTTGTATCAGAAAAGTCCCAATGTAATCTTCATAGTTATATAGACTTAATACTATAATATCATATAAGAGTTAGAAGTACAAAATCTAAATAATGCTTTTATTTATATGATTCAAATAATATTTTATTTAAATGATTTCTTATTTACATAATTTCAACTCTTCAAGAATATATGCCTCATATTTGTTTAATATGGTTATTTGTAATAAAATGGATCAAAATTTGATATTATTGTCTCAAAAAACTAAAGGGGTTTTTGTTTAAACATAATTCAAGTAAAATTTAAATTTTATATCTGTTATACAGTGTATAAATTACTATTAATTTTTAGTATTTTTTCAATTTGTTGTTTCTGTATTAAAGCAGAAATGTAATTTACATCGTTAATCTGTATTTTTTCTTTTTTTTTAAGTTTCTCTAATTTTTTTGAAAATTTCAAAAAATGTGTGCTGAGAAATTAAATAAAACAAATTGATTCTTTTGGATTATATAGGATTTCAAAATACAAAATATACTTGTAATAATGATTCAAATCACTCCTTAGTTGCATTATAGCTTCATCATTGTGAATATTAAATTTGATGACTTATACAGCATCTGGCAGAAAAAATGGGCAATTATAAATAGAAACATTAATAAATAGTTAAAAGCTAACAAATAAATTTTCATGTACAAGATTTCAGAATAACAAAGTTTGCCATTTGTGTTTTGAAAGATGTCATTATGCAAGTAACTCTCATTCATTCATGTGCACACACCCCACATCTTCAGAGGATGTCATGCATGGAATGGTGCAGCCTATTTTCAGGTATGCTACTGATTGTATGTCAAATTTTTTGATGAATGAGTTTCAAAATTTTGTAGACAAAGTGTGGTGTATGAAGATCATTCACAATATAGTGACTCATTTATCAAAAATTGGCACAATCAATAACACACCTGAGTATGTTATTGATTATGTACCAAATTAAATATGTTATGCTATACTATTCTTGATTTCCTTCAAAAATGTAGTGTGTTTACACATGAATGAGTGTCACTTGCATAATGTCATCTACAAAACAAATGGCAAACTTTGTTGTTTGAAGTCTTGTACATGAAAAATTGTTAATAAATATTAAGTTAATAAATGTCTATTTATTATCACCTATCTTTCTGTCAGACAGTGCACAAATGCTGACAATATATACTGTTTTTGGCAGGACAATACCATTCCTTTGCTCTGTCTTAGTCATCCTGACGTTTTAACAAAATTTTCAAATTTCATCCAATTTTAATAAAAAATTAAACTTAGCTCTTTAGTTTTGTATATTAAGCACATTAATACACCAGTATTGTATTCTGAACTTGTGATTTATTGGAATATGCTGCTGCATTGATAAAGATCATAAATTTGAATGGATACTGTTGAGAACAATGACTGAATGGCATGAAATACAAAATAGTTTCTGTGAATTTAAGTAACACATTATACTCATAGAAACAGATGAAATTTGATTATTCAATCAATGGATGCTAATAATGACAATAACAACCAAACACTTGAATAAATGGAATAAAGAAACACTTGATGTAGCCAACAGATGGATCAAAATGATTGATGAAATGCATAAGAGTTGAATTCCAGGATTTTAATAATTTGATAGAACTATTCCTTTCTTTTCCAGGAACTACAGCTTTTGTAGAAAAAATATTTTCATTTGTGAATTTCTTGTGATCAAAAGAGATCATGAAGCCATGAGAAAATGCTAATTATAAAGTTGTATTGTAAAGCATAATTTTACAAGTTTTATAATAAAACTGAAAGTGACCAGAACTAACTAAACAAAATAAATTCAACTGAGAAATATATTTGGTTTGAGCCTGAAAAATCTTGTGTATCAATAAAGTATTAAATCTGGTATCATAATGTAATAAACACTTTTTCTTTATTAAATTTTCAAAGATAAAATCTTTTAAGGAAATTTTGTATGACACCAAATCAATATCACAAATAATGTATGAAGAAATTGTTAATGTTGATCGGTACTTCTTGACTGAATTTTAATAAGAGCCTGTATCTATCAGCTATGGCTCCTTGGGCCTGTTTTTCTTTTTTTTGGCATGAAGAAATTATGGTCAGTCTAATTATACAGATGAGAAGAACAAAACTATATGGAAGTGGAATAAAAAAGGTTTTAACTACAAACACAGTTATGTAGTGCACCACATTTGAAAAATCTAAAAATTATTAATCTACATAATAACCAGTTTCAATAACAATCTACTTATTTCAAACACTTATGAAAAATATCAGTAAACAAGAATGTATTCCAGAAGCCATACCTTAACAGTCCCATCATCACCACCTGATGCAATCCATCTTCCATCTGGACTGAATTTTAAACTATTAACTGTTTTGCTATGACCCTGTAATAAACTTTTATTTAAAAAAATAGATTTTTTTGTTAATATAATTATTTTTAAATTTAATTATACATGCCTTATAAGTATATATACAGCCTTTCCTTCTGATATCCCATAACTGTAAAATAAAAGTACATAGTTAATAAAAACCTGAAGTGCTCATTAATTAAAAATCTTTAATTACTATATTTTGTATTGCTTTTAAAGGAAAATAAGTAGAAGTTCTGTCACAGAAAGTTATTCTATATAATAATATATATTATAACAAATATGATAGACTATCCCATGTATGAATGCAACATGCTCAAATGACAAAACTATCAATGTAATTTCCTAGTATTTAATGTTTCAGATAAACAATGTCATCATGCACAAGCAACCGATTTCTGATGAAATCACTTTATCATAATATGATAAATGAAATTAATTATTCATAACAACAAAAACTTACTAAATTCTGTTTGAAATATAAGGCATGATCAAAAAGTTTCTGTTGAAAGCTGTACAGTTCAGATTTGGTATGCCAGTTGTGCAAAAGCACCATGACCATTTAGGCAAGCATCCCACTGCTTCATCAGGTTGAATATACCCTGTTGGTAAAACTCCTGTTTCTGCTGCTTGAAGAAGTCCGAAACTACCTGCTGCACTTCTATGTCCAACCGGAACCTTTGACCTTTTAAGGACTTCTTTAAGGGACCAAAGGCATGAAAAGCACACAGGGAGAGATCAGGACTGTAAGACGGGTGCTAGAGTGTCTCCCACTTTAGTGCATGTAACTTCTGCATTATGACATTTGCAGTATGGGGACGTGTGTTATCATGAAGAAGAATCACCCCATTTCGCAGTTTTCCTGGACATTTTGCCTTAATTGCACGTCGTAATCTCTGCAGTGTTTCGAAGTACTGTACCTCAGTGATAAAGACACTTGGTTCCTTGAAATCAATAAGCAATGGGCCCTGGTGATCGAAGAACAGGGTAAGCATCACTTTTCCAGCAGATGACTGGCTCTTAACTTCTTGGGATGAGGGGACGAAGGATGACACCAATGCATGGTCACCACTTTTGACTCAGTTTCCCAGTGGTGGCACCAGCTTTCGTCACCAGCAACAATGCACTCAAGGAATGTGTTGCCTTCAACATTGAAACGCATCAGGTGCCACGTCCTTAAATGGAAACTTTTTGATCGCCCCTTATACTTTAAAAGTATTTATGTTTCCATCATCTGTGTACAGAGTCTTCCAAAATGAATGCTACCATTTGAAATTATTGTAATTAAGTTAATTATCTGAAAGTATGTGACATACACCAATTGACAGAGTAACAGTTCCAGTTTGTCACCCATCTGCATTTGAAAGTCATGTTGTCTACTACCTCTTGAAAGTATCATGAACAAAAATGATGACACTGTAACAGAGAAGCCATATTGTGTTTTGTGAAGGCACAAACATATTCTAAAATCTTGGAATCACTCATTGTGCAACTGAATCATAGCTGCTATGAGGTGTGCTAATAGATATACTATACAAGTTAGGAATAATTTAAGTATTGGTTGAATGTGTGCTGCATGACAAAAGGTACACATGTTGAAAAATCATAATAAGCAAATGTGAAACTTGGACATTTTCCAATGCTCTCTGATAAAAACAAACATGATTACAATAATTTAAAATGGTAGCATTCTTTTTAAAAGACCGTGCATGTATATGTATATATTACTTATAATTCCTATTTTAATATCACACAGTTGGCAGTCTGCTTTTCAAATCAATTGATACTTTTCCATCACCAAGAGCAAGGAATTGAATGGAACAGCTGGCAAATAAATCATTTGGTAAGAGTCATGTTGTTTTTCAGCACTATCATGTGCAAACATCTCCAGAGATTGAAGTTTTCAAGCAGTCTAAATTCACTTTGGAACGATGAAGCAGTATTGATGAAGTTGTATTGTTATACCCAAAAACAAAGAACTTTATACACAAATCTGATTTATAACAACTATTTTTTAATGTAAATTATTTAAAATTTTTTACAATGTCAAGCTTATAAAATCAAACAATTTTAAAAATTTATAAAAATTTGATGAAATTCTGAAATATCAGTAAATCAACGTCTCAATGTAAATAATCTTTGTAGAAACATTTTTTGTGTAACACAAAATTAATTACATTCTAATATTCAGGTTTGTATAATTAATTATATAAACAGAAATATTTATTATTGATTATTTTTTAAACTAATGATTTTCAATATCTGTTTTTAATCTCTATAAAATATTCCTTGCATAATTCTTTTTCTATAGTTAAATCATCTCATTTCTTAAATATTTCTACAGCTAGGTTACACCTAAAATGTAACAAGTAAGTTTTTAGCTAGAACACTGTAGGTTGTAACTTATAAATTATGTATTATAAAAATATGTCCTATAAAATTATTCAAAAAACAGAATTATATTTGATTATTTGAATATCAAACAAATTTTTGAAGAATTATTATGATTTCAAAATGTAAGCAACTTTGATTCTATTTTTGTAATTTTTACTAATGTTAAGAACGATTTTTCTTAAAGATTTCATAATCTGAAAAGACTGTTTCATCCCACTTAGTGATTATGTATTTCTAATACTCTGTGTAATGTAAAAATAATGGTTCTTTTCAAATGTTACATCATTTCAAAATCAAGCCTCAAATTCTATAATGTGGAAAAACAGCCTCGTGGAAAATACTTGAAAATTTATTAATACATCAGTTCAACAGTTTAACTGTTTTTTGATGCCTTTTTAGTTTACGTTCAATTTTTATAATGTTGTATAACAAATATCTCAAATCAAAATTAAAACATTGAATAGATGATCAAACGAAATACAAAAAAAATTGTTTTTATATGATCAGAAAAAAAATTTTGTTCTAATTATACATTTAATTAAAATGCTAGACAAAAGATGATTTACTTGTTTCAGTCATAAATCTTCAAAATTTCAGAAAAATTATCAAATCATTCTTCTGACTCACAAAGCTTAATTTTGCCAATTTTATAATTTTATTGTTTTTTAATAAAATTGTATTGTGCCTTCCTCATTCTCAGAAAATAAAATTTCCTATAAACTAAAAAGATGATGACTGTAAAAAAATTCTTTTTATGTGAATAAGATTTTCAAAATGTATTATTTATAATGAAATTTGCAGAAAGTAAACACATTTTGGATTTTATAAAATTTATATCTGTGTTATAAAAAGTAAATTAAAAATTTTGTATTTATGCAAGTGACAATAATATAAATATCAAAATTAAATTGTCAATGTGGTCTCTATAGATGCTCCTCTCCATATGCTTTTCAGATATTTTTACATTATTAAGCTATTTGGGTGATTTTTACCTACCATTAAATGAAAATATTAAATATTCATGAAAATAATTATTAAAGTAAATGCATAATTAAATTTGACATTGCAAGAGAAATTGGCCACAGTTAAGATTTTCAGAACTTACAATATTATTCTCTTTAATTCAACTAATAATTTAAAAAGTATATTAATCATTAATACTGCAGGTTGCTTTTATGTGTATGACATTTGATTTAGCTTATTTTATTAGATATCTTTATTTAAGATATCTAAGAATAAAACTTCAGTCTGTACAAAATTAAAAAAAGTATTGAGTGAATCATATTATGATCATCTGTGATGTATCTCATTGATGTGAATTCAGAAAACCTTAATGGATATTGATAAATCAGAAGTTACCTACTCTTCAATTGATTTTATTCGCAAAGAATATTCTTGGAAATGTCTGAAGTACAAAACTAAAATTATTATTATTATTGTTATTAGTATGAAATATCTAATAAAATATTTATTTTAAACCTTTTTATTTTTTAGTAAAGATTTATATTTTATTACATAAAACAGTATCATTGAATGCTTTGATGTGTGGAAAAACTTTGTAATTAAAATTTTTAAAGCATGTACTGTATCATTGTAACGTAAGCTTGTATTATTTTTAAAGATGTTTGAATATTTACATGCAGACATTTCTAAATCAGTTCTTATAAAGACTAAGAATACAAAACATTTACTTTAATGGAATTTTTTAAAATTCAATTAAATTAGCATTTTCATAATGCTTATTTAATTTAGGACATTAATAATATTTTTGGAAAAAAAATCAACAAAAATCAATAATTTGATGACTTCTATTTAATGATGTTAACATGAAATTTGTATATATCTTTTATAATGTCATTTTCCTTAAAAGCTTTACCTTAATGTTTGTATCCAGAGAACCAGAAGCAATAAAATCGCCATAAGGATGAAAATCTAAGCACTTTACATTAGATTTATGTCCCGTTAGAGTTCGTACAACTGTAAAAGCAAAAAATTATTATTATTTACTTAAATTATGTAATTTTATTAAATACACTAAACAATAGCATTTTAAAAAAAGTTTACTTTTGGCAGCTTCTAAATCCCAGATCTTCAGCGCCCCCGACATAGATCCGGCACAGACCATATCTTCTAAATGGCTGAACTTGACACATTCTACAGAAGTGGTATGCCCTGTCAAACTCTGAAATAAATTATTTTACTTCAAATTAATATTACTAATATAATNTAACAGAGGTAAAGTATGGCAATCGGTCAGAAAATGACCCCTTCCCAAAATGTTTACATTTTTGGATTCGGAACCTTGTAAAGTAGGGAAATAATTAAAAATTGGGGTATAAAATTAGGAAATAAAAGAAGTTGGGGTTTTTTCTGTATGTATGGATATTAATGTGTGGTGGAAGCAAGATTTTATTCACCAAATTTGAAGTTTAATAACTTCTATACATTTTGCCAAAGAGATTTGACTATTAAGGGAAAATGTTTAGATGTACAGAAATTTTCATAAAAATCGAATCATTGGTTCTGTAGATATGGCTCCACCCTCCTAATATCTTTAGAACCAATCTGAAGACTTGTAAAAGGTAGCAATTTATAGGGATAAAAACAAAGAATAAAAATCAGTACAATGATATGAGAGGACCCATTACAGACAAGATTTAAAGGTTATATTACATATTGTGAACATAAATCGAACAAAAACCAAAGTAAAATTCTAAAGTTTTGTGCATGATCTATCTGATCATCAGTATTTCATATTTAAAAAAACCAAAAACTTAAGTAAGTCTTATCAATAAAGATCCTATGCAAATATAAAGTCATTGATAATTAGATATTGTTATAAAATACATCAGACAGATATAACAATACCAAACATATCAGTAGTTACATAGTAAATACACAAGTTACCTGAAAAAAAGTGATGCACATAATCGATAGTTTTATATTAGAAATTTCAAATTAGGCATAATATTACAAGTAAATGTTCACTCGTCATAAAAATTCATGTCATTATTTTCCCTTTCTAGAGTAATTGACATAATTCAAGTATAACCAAGCTATTGTTTACGATTATTTTTTATTAATAAGATTATATCCTGAAATTTTACGATTGTTATTTTGAATATTTGGAGACTGAAGAGGAAAGTTTTGGCAACTGTACTCGATCGACCGTTGAATTTAGACTAATGAAAATTTTAACGATCTTAAGTGCTATTTTACAATTTTTGGCTACTTAAAAGTGCTTTAATAGTTTATTTTTATATAGAAAGAGTTACAATTTAAGATATGCAAAGTGTAACTATAGATTTCTTTCACTTAGCAAATAAAACTTTAAAAGTTTCTATTGTAAATATGGAATTATTCAGATATATAAAAATTAAAAATATTCAGATTTAAAAACTAAATACCATAAATTTATAACTAATTCAAATTTCTCTTATTTCTAATAAAATTAATATAAAAATTATGTTTTGATAAAACACTTAAATATTTCTAATCCAAATCCCTTTGAGCCTTTCTGGCTATCTTCAAATGTTTAACTACTACTAAAACAATAATGTTCTTAAACATTCTAAACATTTATTGTTCTCTTAGAAGTAATTAAACACTTGAAGATAAGCCATAAGGCTCAAAATCACTTGGGTTTTAAATTTTTAGAAGTTTGCTGCATAAAATGATACTTTTCATACTTTATACATGATTTATACAGTTTGGAGAATTCATTTTCTGTATATTAATATAAATTTATTATCAAATTCAAATATAAATGAAAAAACAAAAATTAAATTATAATCATCAGTCAATCCAAACTTGCAACTTTATTTCAACATTTAGAATGTTATTATTGGCTTCATCATCATTAAAATAATTTAGAATCTTCATATTACTATTTGTTTACTTAATAAAACTTTAGATATGGATAAATATTATATAGAATTTTGAAGAATTTAAGATTCATTAAGCCAGCTCTATGCATTGGCATTTGCAATCATCAAATAATTGCCTATTTGTCTCCTTTGATCTGTTACAATATACTGACAAGAGGCAGGAAATGGCAAATCTCAAATAATAGCCATAAGTAAACCACCTGTACGACTCAGTATCGGCCAAACATTTGCTCGGCATTTGGCAAATACCAAATGAATGGGCCCATCTTTAGACACTTCGGAAAGTTTGTTGCAAATATACATCTCTAATAAAGTACAAAATAACAGTAATTACATCAATTTTTGAAACACTTTCAAGTCTTTCTTCTAAGTATTCATTCTCTGACAAAGAGCTGAAACTTTACATAGAGTAGAGAAATATAGACTCTCAAGTTACTTCTGAAGAATGTCATCATCAAAAGTACACAATTCTAATTCCACACTATTTTGTTAAGATCTCCAATAAAGCATGAAATAGTGGACTAATTGAAAAAGTGCATTTTGAAATAAGATAATTATTAGTTTTAAAAATCTAATTTCATCTCTAAATAAACATTAATTAAACAAGAAATAATTACGTAAAATTTTTATTGTATTTTTAATTAAAACATCTTTTGTAAAGTTCTTCATAATTAATAAAATAATTGAGATAATCTATGGAGAACTCATTTTGATTTAATGTTACAAAAACTTGTTTCATCAGAATTATTACTAACCAGAACATTACTTCAAAAAATATATTTATTTAAATTTTTGAAGAGTAAGTAATTGATTTAATTTATAGCAAATAAAGCATCAATACTTTTCAAATTCCATTTCTCCAATTTTAACAAATTTATTTTCAATAAAACTACTACTAAAAAATAATTTCAGATTACTATCAATAAAAAGATGGCAAGGGTCATTGCATGATTTTTCCAATGCTCAAACAGGAGGTTAAATTAATTAATTAAGAGGACCGAGAAGAAAATCTGATAATTTTCAATTATAATTTCTGAAGTTAGAAGAAAAAGAGAAAGCTTTACGTTTTTGTAGCATGGTCAGTGTTTTAAAAATTGCAAATGTCAATAATGAATAAAATTTCCATTAAATCTGACCCCACGTGAGATATGAACCCCTACCCCTCTCACCAGCTTATAATGTCCAAAATGTACTAGTATTAAAGCCACTATATATACAAGTATAATTTTCAAGTTTAAAAATGTTTGGTCCATGGAGTCCTGAAATATTATAAAGCAAAATACAGGACAACATATACACGCCCAAACAGAATTTTTGTCCCCTTTTTCAATGTTTTTAGAATTAGAAAACTTTGAAACATTGAGAAATGCAAAAAACCAGGGGGGGTCAAAACTTGATCAATTAAAGTATTTTCCTTCTGTTACTTTATTTACAGTCGACCTCCCTATAACATGGTAGATACATTCCGTTTTTTATGAAATTGATGTTTTAGCAGACCTTGCCAATCACAGCCCGACACGTGTGAAGTTTACGGACTACGGCTGTTTGAAAAGTTTTTTTCCATAAAATTAATCGATTCCTAGACTAATTCAACTCAACATTTCCAAAATACGTATATTTTTTTGGGAATAATCCATATAAACTATGCTATAAACAAAAAATTGTAAGATTACTTACCAAGTGTGCACCGTTCGGTGTTGCCATTGCTTAAGCTTGTTTTCAACGCGGAGCAGTGCACCAAATGGCAGCCGCGATTTCTGATGTTATTTTTCTGTGAAAACTTTGTTGAACTTTGGAGACATCATTAATATAAATAATTTTTAAGGCTGTTGAATAAGAAATGTTTCTTTCACAAGAAATGTATAAAATTAGTGCAGTATTAGACTTACAGTACCTAATTTACATACTGTACAGATAATAGTAAACTCAACTTACTCGCCTAAACTCTCCGTAGCGTGGCACTGGAAGGCAGAAAGTAGTTCGGCTGCCCGATGACGTTTTACCGAATTATAGGAGTTTTTTTTACGGATTTACATGTTTGTACGGATACCATCGCAATTTTTTCACAGTCATATAGGAATCTGAACTATAGGAACCCGTATTATAGGGGGTCGACTGTACTTACCTGGCTGTTAAAGTAAGAAAACTAAATACGAAAAATTTCAGTCCTTTGATTTTCAAACAAGATTTTTTTTATTGAAAGTCTTGATATTTTGCAGTTAAACTTCAATGCATGTAAGTGAGACTTAACAAAATTTTTCAATAACCAAGAAAGTTTAAAATAAATCTTAATATCTGTAAACAAGGATGAATAATCTTTTATAAACCTAACTAATTTTTCAGAGAGACAAACAATAAATCCCTCCCCATAGAGATAATTGAATGAACTTAAAAAATTAAGTTATTTCATGCTAAAGCTTTTAAATAGATTGATAAAAATTTTTATTAACTTTTATATGCAATTTTACAATATACAGAGTTAACTTTCTTGAAGATATGCCAGATGAATGTCAATATCCCATTTTTTTAAAGCCATATTGATTAAAAGTATTGCAAAATTAATACTTTGATGCATATCATCTAATGTATCATTAGATTGCAAAACCTTTCTTTCCACTTAAAATAAACTAGAACTTCTTTAGTGTTTTAGTTTAACTTTCTAAAATTTAAGAGAGGAGGAGGAAGGGGAAAAAAAGTAACCTTTATTACACTATTAAGAAAATTAAATAAATAAATAATCAATTATCATCTCATTAAACTATTGATTATTTTGGAAATTTAAGAACAAAATTCAAACACCATTTCATTTCTATATATTTATTAAGACTGAAACATTTGCATTAACCTATTTTTATAATTTGGCATTTAGATTAAATCTATAAAAACAAAAAATTATTTTTTAAATTGTTATAATTTGATCATCTAAATTATTCTTTGTAAGTTTATTAAAATGAATAAGAAAGTAATTTTTATTGTTTCTAAATGTTTGCATTATTAGTATTTAAAGTAAACTAAACTAAAAAATATTCATTATAAAGAAAATTCTACATTTATATTTAAATAAACAAGCACCAATTTTTTTTTAGTTTGTTTCACTGTATAATTTGTATATAGATGTACAAAAATAATTATATATATTATACATACACACCTTAATATAGTGCCCTCCTAAATAGTGCTACCCTTAAAGCGTCAATGAATGTAAATGGGTCTTTATCAAAAATATTAAAATGGAGGCTATTTTGGCAAAATGAATTATTAAATGTGGAATTTGCAATGCAAAATCCTAAACTTAACTTATCACTAAATCACAACTTCTAAACTCAAACTCACTTATACAGACCACATTATTAAATACAATTCTTTGAGGTTCTTCAGTTTAGTGGTCCTACTCGATTTAGTGTTGAATTGTGGCACTAAATCAAGGTTCAACTGTATTTAATTGGAATTTTGAATAATCACAAAAAATAACAATTTAATAAGCATTTTCCACCTGCGGAAGTTTATTAAAAAGATTAAACCATTCAACAAAACTGACCTAACATTGTCTAAGAAATATAAGTGTTAAATAACAGCATCAAATTTAGCAATGAATGCAATACAGTATAGTATTACTGTGTACTTTGAATTTTCATCGAACAAAATCTTTTAATTCATGATGTTGTCATTGTATTATGTACAACTTTGGCAAGAAGCTGTGATTATAATTAAAATTTACATTTATTTTAGATTAAAATGTGAACACACACAAGATAATTATTAGTTTTAAAAATCTAATTTCATCTCTAAATAAACATTAATTAAACAAGAAATAATTACGTAAAATTTTTATTGTATTTTTAATTAAAACATCTTTTGTAAAGTTCTTCATAATTAATAAAATAATTGAGATAATCTATGGAGAACTCATTTTGATTTAATCAAAATACAAAATATACTTGTAATAATGATTCAAATCACTCCTTAGTTGCATTATAGCTTCATCATTGTGAATATTAAATTTGATGACTTATACAGCATCTGGCNAATTAAAATTATTTTCAAATTATTATTATATTTTAAATTTATATTTTTATATTAAAAAAAAAAAAGCAGGATTTTCAAATGAGTACAGTATTTACAATGGCCTCATTATTATATTAAATTCTCTGAGGACTTATAAAAATGGGTCAACAGAGAAGGTCAAATACATAAAATAACCATCACAAAAACTGTATTGTGTGACATCTCTCAACCTAAATTACTCCTTATATTTGCTTAAGCTTGTTAATGTATTTTATGTGTGGATTTAATGTGAATCCATTTTCAAATTTAATCCATTTTTTAAGGCAATTACTGTCTGTATAACAGACTATTCTGCTGCTTACAGCTTTACATTAAATTACTTAATTTTGAATTATATCAGACCATATTCAAATTTCGGCATAAATATAAAAAATAAATTACATAAAATTATTTTCTAATGATTTTCTTTGCTTTTTATTTGTAGAAAAACATTGTTTATAACAAATACATTTAATTAACCCACTTTGCAGATTTTTCCACAATCAGAAAAACAAAATTTTATATATCACTATCCCTATAATTAACCAAGCATATACATACATAAAAAAATATTTTTTATTGGGCACTATTTAAATCTTAACCTATTTGAAAGAATGGGCTACATCATTATTTTCCCACTCAGATAGATATTAAACAAAGATATTATCTATTTTAGACTATTAAGTGGCTATTTTTAGAAAAAAACTCCAGTTTATAAGCTAAATTTAGACTTTAAAAAGGTGTTTTAATTAATTTAGAAATAAAAAAAACTTAATTTATAACTTGTAAATTAAATTAAAACACTCCAAAACATCACAAATTAGGATAAACTTGATATTAAAATGAAAACTAACTTCAGTTTTTTAGCTAAATCTATAGACTCAAATTAAATCAGCTTTCTTTAAATTATAATTTAATAAATAAAAGTTCAGTTTACAGCACTCAAATTAAATTACAACGTTCAAAAAGTTAATTTTCTTAATAATAATTTCATAAATTGATATTTAAGTAATTGCAATTACAGCATTTTAATGGCGTTAAGGAAAACTGTGTTTTTGGTGTTAGATTCTCGCAGTTTTTACAGGAAATTGCAAGATATATTTTTCTTTTCCTGGAAAAATAATTGCCATTACGGTTGCAGTTTCCCCCATTTATTAAAACAGTCGCCCGCCAGCTGTGTTAACGTCTGTCGTTTCCGATGTAACGTATCTCGTTAACCAATTTCGTATCAATAAGCGAAACTCGTCCTATCGAACTACTTTTCAAGGCTTTCCCAGTAAGAAATCTCAATAAGGGTTGCTTAGCGACATTCGAAAACGTACAAATAAACAATGTGGACGAGAAGACAACCTTACAAGGAACGTGGGAGGTCGAATTAAAAATCCACGCAAATTCCTATGACGTAATAGATAAGGTCGGCAACGGATTTTTATCATAAATTTTACACCAAAAAGACGTGGGTACGAGTTCACCTCCTTGCTCCTTGTCGGAAATTATTTATAAAATTAATATAATATATATATATATATATAAACTTTCTGCATTAAAAATGGCGTTGTGTCTTCAAAAAATGTGTTTAATTAACGAAAATTCAGCTTTGTGGAAGCTTATTATAGTCCATAAAACTAAAGCAATTCTGAGAATTTAATGTGGAAAGCATTCGGGGATTCGGCGAACAAGAAATAGGCTATATCTGCGGTAATAAATATATAAATAATTAACTGTACGATTTATTGCAAAATCTCTTAATTTTGCTAGCGTACTTCCCCGGATCCGACCCTGATCATCTTAAAATTTGAAAATAACTAGTCTATATATACGTGTACTGTACATATAAAAAAGAGGACGAACGTGTTTTCCCACCTACATTCAACACAAAAGGGACAGTTGCCAAACACACATACACACTCAAGCAAACGAAAACAAAGCAGATAAAACGTAGGCCCGTATATAAATACATTGCTTCCGCGTTCCAATAATAAAAAAAAAAGTTTTAAAACTACAAGATGACCATTTCCAAATGGCCCGTACGACGACGCAATTGAAAATAACCGAAATAGTGGAAGAGCGTACGAAACCCGAATATCACCATTTTGACATATTTTCAAGAGATATGACCTTTCACCCCGGCCACCGGAGAGACAGCAATCAATTATTGCACAACCTTTTTCCTCACTCTCCATACATGGCTTACGGTTTGACTACCTTCGCGACACGTGGTAGACTTACACCACGTGGTACGGTAACTTCGTGACGTCACATCCGGATAGAATTTTGAAGCGGAAGTACGAGAGGATTTAATTATTTGAGTCGGGTCGGCCGAGTTTACGACGGCACGTCACAAAAATGCGAAAAAATCCGAGCCGAAGCGCATTTCGAACGTTATAACGCGTTAAAAACTTTCATATGTTTCTTGTCCGCGAACTTTAAACCCCGTTCACGGGGTGGAAAACAGAAAAGTACTCATTAAACACCTACTCATTTACATAACTCGACAGGTGTGCGCGCTTCAGACACTTTCTTTCGCATTTTTCGCGTGCCCAACTTTTAATAGCTAAAAAAGAAAGGAAAAAATTTGTTACATCGTCTGTTCGAAGTGACGCATTAACCAGACGACACATAATTTTATAAGTGCGTCCCCTTGTAGAATCGCTTGTATTTCTCGAAAAAAAAAACCAATTCAAGTTCACGAACCTAAAACACATTAGAACTACTCACGCTTCTTCGAAATCGAACCGTATCTAATATATTAAAAATAATAAATCGTAAAAAATGATAAAAAATATGTGAAATTTAAGCCGTCAGAAACGCACAAATTAGACAAGCGGACGACATTTGCCACAGTTCGTCTGCTTGAGGTCGCTGACACTAGCGCGTGCCAAACGGACCGTGAGAAGTTTATTCCGAGAAGCACAATGACGATTATTTAAAAAAAAATTCTTCTTCTATTAATACCGCTATCGATACGCCTAATAATAATATACATGAATTTTTAATTAAAAAATATATTTCTTACCATTATGCAATTGGGTTTGCCGACTGCCCATAGGTTGACTTTTTTATCTTCTCCTCCCGTCACCATCACCCTTCCCGACTTCTTCCCTAGAGCGAGGCAGTGCACGCTCGCCCCGTGCGCAACAAACTCCTCTACGAAAGGAAAAAAAGGGGAAAACTTGCGTTAAACATAATCCAAAAAGCGAAATACTTATTCAGTAAAGAAGATTAATAGCAATAAAGTGGCGACATCGGAAAACGGGTCGATGAGAGTCGCTCGTGCGAAATAAGCGTAAAACATCTTTTTGAGACCGTTACGACGAGAAAAGGTAGAAGGGAAACAAAAAAAGCAACACGCGAAACAGTCGGAGATATTACTCTCACCCCATTGAACCGAATAAGTAGCGGCAGTCCAGTTTCTCCAATCCCTCTGGAAGCCAAACAGTGAAGCCGAACTTCTCAACATGTCCCCCGTCCGAACCGAACTAAACGTTTGGCTTAAACGACAATTCCAATGTCAAGTGCCATTGGTGCACCACCTGTACCACGGTCTTTCACACCGCCGTCACTATGGCTACGAAGATTGACCCTTTATCGAGCCGTATCAAAACAAAAATTCCCGATGTACAGTTACATGCTCTTTACCCGTATTGCACTGTTCGCAAGTTTAATCTCTCCCCTATAGTTCTGTTATCTGTAACCTTATAACACACATTGACATCGGAAGCTGATTTTTCGCGTGGATGAAGGTTAATTATTTAAATATGTAAAATTTCCCGTATTTTTAGAATGTAAAGGGTTCGCTAACATTTCTAATGCAATCAATAAAACCAGTTAATTTGTTGAGCTCTCTAAGCTATCAAATTCATAATTTACACTTTATTAGTATTTTTATATATAATGAATATAGATATTTAATTAAATAAATTTTAAAATATTTAAATCTTTCGGAGGATAGACTTTCTAAATCAACTTTAGAGGCGAGTGAAGACAAAAGTTTTCTTATTTGCTGTGCTTATATTTTAAACATCAAAAATCATATGCCAACACTCATTTGACAAATTTGGACGTAAAACTTTAATTTTGTGTAATTGGGTTCCTGCTGAAGAGGTCTTGGCTTAGTTACAAGGCAAAATGCAGTAGAGATAAATATTGGTTTTTGATGTTCAACTTTTCTTATTCACTGTGCCAACATGTCAACTCATCACTGAAGTTGGTTATTCCTCACAAAAATTTAAATATTTTTAAATTAAGGTAAAATTTACTAGAGTCGCCATCTGTAGAAAANGTATATATATATATATATATATTCGTATTTCACATTTATTTTTACGTCAGAAAATATTTTAATTAAAAAGACTATTTTGAGAGTTACTCAGTTTACATTAAATATTTGACAGTAAAAACTTCAAACTTAGTTTTGAGGAATTTGGGTTCAAATTCGATTCGAACCCTTAGAAGTTTTTATTGCTAGACCTGAATATGTCGGACTCCGTCTTTTACTAAATGGCTACTTTAACATGGGTCTGGCCAAACATCATGGTGAGCATGAGGTTTGGCCAGGCTTTATGAGGTTTATGCTTGAGAAGCAGAGTTTAAAAAATTAATAAGCATAATACACAAAAAATATCCTATAAAAATGTCAAATTTATTAAGTAAAATTTCAAAACATATTTGAAAGAGGGTCATCAGTCATTAAATTTCAAAATTCTGTGTTCGTTTAATTTATAGACACGTCATTTTTGTCAGAAGTACTAATGAACAATTAATTTAATCATATATTAAAAATGAATATAGAAAATAAACAATTTAATTAAACTAAGAATACGATGGCAACTTTTAGTTTTCATTTTGGATTCTTTCCACCCTTTGGATGCTAAGAGGGTGTTCTTAAACAACACATTGTGAGTTCGGCCAAGCCCACAGTGAAGCGGCCGGTTGGATCCGAATATATTGTCGGGAGAACTACTCCCGAAAAATTCCTGCAATTTTTTCAGCCCGTCCAATTCGTTCACAGATCGATAAGGCTCCGTAAGGCCCCTTGTCCATGGACTATTCTCCCATGTCCGAAATAGTAAATCCTCCAGCCGATAGAAAAAAAAGGTCTACTGTTAATAAAAAACTAAATGTTAAATGTTATCTAAATATATAAAATTACTTGTCCTGACTGACTGACTGAGTCACTGATTGATTCATCATCGCCCAGAGCAAACCGCTGAACCTAAACAGGTGAAATTTGGTACACAGTTAGGGTATGTCACGAAAACGCATACTACGAAGAGATTTTTTCGAAATTCTCCCGCGGGGGGAGAGGGAGAGCATTAATGCTTAACCTGAAGAACGGCTTTTGAAATTGATTTCCATACTTCCCCTTAAATTCATAACATTTCAGACATTGTATAAATATTTTTATATATTTCGATTTTTTAACCAAATGTTCGAACCGTTTTAAATTCGAATTTGTTATTGCATATTGGTTCGATTATAGAACGATTGTAAACGATCCAGAAAATTGATCAAATTGAAAACAGTTCGTTTGATTCTCGGCAATTCTCATCATTCTCAGCGATAGGTGTTATATAACAATTACTATGGTTGTTGAAATATTGAATATAAATGACGTTTTCTTGCAAAATCCGCGCGGGCAAAGTCGTGAGTAACAGCTAGTAGAAGAATATATGAAGACAAAATCAATTTATAAATATAATAGCGTTGTCTTCTAGTGAGAGATTCAGGTGACATTTTCATGATTTTTCATAGTTCGGCATCTTTTTTCATCCTTCACTAGGCAAATTCTTCTATAGATCACGTCTTTCTCTAATGGATAAAATTCAGATCGCAAACATTATCCATGTGCAAAAATCAAATTATAATTAAAATTATATGTTAATTGATTTTTAATTTTTAAGTAGCTTGCCTAGTTAAGAAGAACATATCAATAACAAAATTAACTAACAAAATCAAATTATAATTAAAAAAATATGTTAATTGATTTTTAATTTTTAAGTAGCTTGCCTAGTTAAGAAGAACATATCAATAACAAAATCTTCCTCAATCATACAAGGAAAAAGAACCGATCACTCGGCGATTAGTTTTCTTGTATATTCATATATAACTGATACAAGAATATACAGCGATCAAAAAGCTTTTCTAAGCCATAAATATTACAACAACATTATTAAAGATTTACATTTTCACTCATTCTGCTACTTAATATATTTGTTTTTAATTTGAATTTTAAAATAGATTTAAAACCAGGGAGGATACTAATCAGATGAAGTTTTTGTGTGTGTGTGTGTGTGTGTGTGTGTGTGTGTGTGTGTGTGTGTGTGTGTGTATTTTTCTTTGAAAGTGTAAATATTCACATTATGATCAAAATTTGGAAGGAAAAGCTAAAAGGTCAGATTTATCTAAATATATTTTTAATTTAGAATACATTTTTTTCCAAGTAAAGCTAAAGGAAGAGACATTCAAATATTAGCAGGATGTTTATGCAGAATTAATGTCTCTTAGGAGGAAGTTGTAATAAAACTGTACTTTATCTTAAAGAAGTTCACATTATCTTTCAATGCATATAATCTAACATTTTGATTAAAAAAACTGTCCTGATAGGAAGTGTGTCTAGCTCTTTATATAAAAATTTTAATATGTCATCCTACAGGTATGAGACAACTGATAACATAATTGATCTTTTGATCATGTAATTTTTAGTATCAAGAACACTATACATAAATCATTCACCACAAATCAGAAGATATTTTAATAAATTTAATTTTGTTTATAATTTTAATTTCAGAAAACCTAACATTGATTTAAACAATTTTTACAAATGTTTATTATACAGTAACCAATTTTCTTTTAATATAAATGACAATATTAAAGCTTGATCTTTATCAACATTTTAAATTATTTTTATTAGTCATTTCAAAGCTGTTCAAAGCTCTCTATCACAATTAGGAATCAAAAATTTTATTCTAGTTTATTATTTAAGTATCTTGCTTATCAGTTGAAAAATCATCATCATTTCACATAACTAATAAAGTTATAATTGCCGAGGGAAGCAAAATAAATTTTAGACAAAGTATATGCTGTAAAAATGCATACTGTATTATTCTTGTTTCTTGCTAGTTGCCTAGCAAATTGCATGAATGATTTGTAAGATTTTTATCAAAATGTATAGTATTTAAAAAGATGCGAATCAAAAATTTGCATGAATCAGTAAACAAATAAGGAAAAAAATGAGGAAATGGACATATTTCTTTTCTATGCTAATAAAAAAAAAGATATGGTATTGGTACACATTTCTCCAAGAAGATTTGTCACACTAAACTACATGTTTTGCAAAACAAATAATGAAATCGTATGTACAATATATATTTTATCTGGGAAGTATAAGTTTTAATCTGAAAACCCTCTTATTACAAGAATCAAAGATCTTTTAACTGATTAACTATATTCCACTGTAAAATAAGAATTTACTGGAAGATTTTTAACATTTGTGAAAGGATAAATTTAACATTAACCTATAAAATTTTGTGCATCATTCTAACTAATCTGCCTATTCATTAATACATTAATACAATTTGAAAAATTTAATAATTTGATACATCAGGAATGTAATCAGCAGCATGAAAATGCACAATGAATCATATGTTAATTTGCATTCTCAACAATAACTTTGAACTCATGATTAATGTAAGAAATACTGTGTATTTCCAGTATGACTCGCATTAATAATTATTATTTATATTTTACAGCTAATTTTCAAGTATCAAATACAAAAATGCATTTCTTCAAAGCTCTGACCATAATTAGTTTCTCACTATATTATTAATATAGGTCTAGAAATAAAACATGTTTTGCAAGATTGTTTTATTATTAACATTACATGCTTTTTAGTCTTGTAATGTGGCATATACATACTTAAACATTTTTATTAGATATTCTAGTTCCACATACTGCATTTGTATACAAAAGATTGACAATTTTTTACACTGGCTTTTGAGGCACACTAGTATACCACAAAGCCATTCTACATATGCAGTGAGATAAATAAAACAAACTTAGTGACAACTTAATAATTTAGTAAATTAGAGTTCTAATCAACCTGTCAACAAGTCCAGTAACATTTATTATTGAAGTGTTCTTCATGC